TGCTGCCCTGCCTGGGTGAAGGAGGAGGAGGAGAGATGAAGGCTGGCACAGCACTGCCACCAAAGGTGGAGCTGAGCTGATCAGTGCTTGTGAATGGGGCCGTGCGGCAGTGAATGGGGCTGTGTGGCAGTGAATGGCTCCGCTTTGGCCCCGTGCCCACCTCGGAGGGGTTGGGGTAATAACTCTGAACCCTACTGATGGCACTGTGGTTGGTCGCAGCTTCTCCGCTGCCCGGGAGGAAGGAGAGGAAGTGCAGGGGTTAACGTCGGACTGTTCCACTGCGATGGTTCAGGCAGCAGCGGAGGGAAGGGAGGAGGAGGAGGAGGAGGAGGAGGAGAGACGGAGGAAGATGTCACCGTCTCCCGTCTATCTGTCGTTTCTCTTTCCCAAGAAGGGAACCCGTGGCAGTGGGGAGACGATGGGGAACGCCGCTGAGACAAAGCCGGGGCGGAGGCGGCGGTGAAACGGGAGCTCAGGTGAAGGAGGGAGGAAGAGGAAGGAGAAGGGGGGGCCGGGCTCCGCCATGGCTACGAATTTTAACGACATCATCAAGCAAGGCTACGTGAGGATGAAGAGCAGAAAGCTGGGGGTGAGTGAGTGGGGGCCGTGAGGGGGGGGAGGGGGGAAGGGATGCTCCGTGGGCTCCAAATGCCGTGAGAGCCGACGTGGCCAGGGATCCATCCACGTTGCCGCTCACGGCATTCGGCGTCCCTGGCGTTTGGGGTAAAAAAAAAAAAAAAGGCGTTATTTTGGGTCTGCGTGTAGATTGGGGAGGAGGGGGCAGGAGGGGGAGGGGACACTTGTTGCTTGCCGAGCCATCCCGCTGAGTGCCGTGCCTCGGTTTCCCTTTGCTCCTAGCAGCGCTGGGGGGGGGGGGGATGCCCCACAGCAGCTGCAAAATGGGGGGTTACAGCTCTTATGGAAGGGGGAGCGGGGCCAGCCCCCCACCCACCTCCATTGCTCGGAGCATGCTGGGTAATTTCACGCTAATTAGGGAGAACAAAGAACGAGTGTGGGGTAGGGGGAGGATGGGAGGGGGACACAGTGGTCTCATCACCCCTTCCGGGTTTAGGGGATGGGGATGGGATGGGGGCAGACAGCGGGATGGAGCTGTGTGAGGTCTGCGAGGCGGGGCCTTCAGGGGGCTGTATGCAGGGACACCGGGGCTGCCCGGACCCCAGTGTCCTCTCCTGTTCCCAGGATGGTAGAAGGGGACCAATGGACCCCGTGGGCATCCCTGACCTGGGGATGGGGAAACCAGAGATGGCAAGCACCACGCGTACCTGAGGTTCCTCTACTCCCAGGCGTGGAAATCCCATAGGGTTGGTGGGGAAAGAGCTATTCTGCAGGGGAGGGGGACGCATGGTTCATCTCTACCCGCAGATCTACCGGCGGTGCTGGCTCGTCTTCCGCAAATCCTCCAGCAAAGGGCCCCAGCGCCTGGAGAAGTACCCAGATGAGAAGGCAGCGTGCCTGCGGGGCTGCCCCAAGGTGAGCAGCCGCAGCCGGGGGGTGCCATGCATCAACCCTGCCCCCCAGCACCGCCCCGGTGACACCGTGCCACCCCTCCAGGTGACCGAGATCAGCAACGTCAAGTGCATCACGCGGCTGCCCAAGGAGACCAAGAGGCAGGCGGTGGCCATCGTCTTCGCCGACGATTCCGCGCGTACCTTCACCTGCGATTCGGGTACGGGGTGACGCTGCGGGCTGGGCGATGCCAGGCCATGAGGCCTCGCTTTGCCACGCTGTGTGCCTTGCAGAGCTGGAGGCTGAGGAGTGGTACAAGGCGCTGTCGGTGGAGTGCTTGGGTGCCCGTCTCAATGATATCAGCCTGGGGGAGCCCGACCTGCTGGCGGCCGGCGTGCAGTGCGAGCAGACGGGTGAGCATGGCGTGGGGCACTGGGCTCAGCCCTGCTGCGGCTGTGCTGAGATTTGGGGTTTTCTGGTTGGTTTTTTTTTTTTTTTCAGTGTATTATTATTATTATTATATTTTTCCCAGACCGGTTCAACGTGTTCCTCCTCCCCTGCCCCAACCTGGACGTGTACGGCGAGTGCAAGCTGCAGATCACCCACGAAAACATCTACCTCTGGGACACGCACAACCCGCGCCTCAAGCTGCTCTCCTGGCCCCTCTGCTCCCTGCGCCGCTACGGCCGCGACGCCACGCGCTTCACCTTCGAGGCGGGACGGTGAGATGGAGACGGGCACACCCAGCATCCCCCCCCAGGCCTGACGCCGGGCTGAGGGCTGCCATAGGGTGCCCCATAGCTGTAGGGCCGCTCCGGGCCCTTCCCGGGGCCACCCACGCACCCAGCCCTGCAGGAGCCATGGGGGGAGCCGCTTAGGCTCCGCCAGGCCTGGCTATATTAGGAGCTTTCCTGCTAATTACCAGCTCCAGAGGGGAAGAAACATGATCTTTCCTTTCATCCCGGCCCTATGGCTTCCGCTGACTCACCGTGCCCGGCACGAGGGGAGGGGGCGGCGGGGCCGGCCGCGGGACGATGCTGGCTGGGAAGAGCACCCGTGGGTGCTGGGGGGCTGTGCTGAGGCTTGGCCCACCCTACTGTGGGTACCACTGTAATGCCCCTCTGCTCTGACCCCATAGGATGTGCGATGCAGGAGAGGGTCTCTACACCTTCCAGACGCAGGAAGGCGAGCAGATCTACCAGCGCGTGCACAGCGCAACGCTGGCCATCGCCGAGCAGCACAAGCGGGTCCTGCTGGAGATGGAGAGGAACGTCAGGGTGAGGCACAGCCCGTGGGATGGTGGGTCGCCTGGGGCAGCTCGTGCCCTGCGGGGTGGGCTCACGTGTGTGCCGTGCTCACCCCCAGCTGCTGAACAAGGGCAGCGAGCCCTTCTCCTACCCCTGCACGCCCACCACCATGCTGCCCCGCAGCGCCTACTGGCACCACATCACCGGCTCGCAGAACATGGCCGAGTCCTCCAGCTATGCCGGTGAGTGTCCTCAGGGCCCCGCAGGGATCCCGCAGCCCCTCAGCCATCCCCACGCTGCGCTTTGTCTCCAGGTGAGCCCTATGCGGGCGCCCAGGCCGGCTCGGACACCGACCTCCTCGACAGGTTCATCCTGCTGAAGCCAAAGCCCCCCGGCGGCGACCAACCTGAGATCAGGGAGCCCACCTCGTCCCCGTGATGGGGGGTGCTCTGCAGCCCCTTCCTTCCCTTCCAGGGGTGTCCGGGCCCTGGGAAGCGCAGAGCCCTTGTTTGCACAGAGATGGCATGGGGGCATCCTCCGGGCCCGGCAGCCCGGCCTGAAGCTCCAGGAGGTGACGGCTGGCTGCGCTCAGTGACTTCGAATATATATTGCCTATCCATATTATACAGTCAGATATTTCCTTCTCACGCGGACGCAAAGTTCATCGCCCCCGAGGAGACCTCAGAAAGAGGAGATGCTGACAGAGATCTTCGGGCTCTCGGGCTGGGAGATGGAAAAGAGGTGGGGGCGAAGAGGTTGGGCTGATTTTCTGCAGGTAGGAAGGAAGGACGGCACTGCCCGGCCGTGGCACTGCACCCAGCTCACGTGGCACTTTGCAAAGAGCTCTGAACGCTGCAGGATTGGGATGTCTCAGGAGAAACTGGTTGTCCTTCTGCACCGAGGCCTCGGGCCGGGCTGGGGGCTGAGCTTTGTACCCCAACCCACACATGTGCCACCACCGTGCCGGGGGCAACCCAGGCACTGACTGTGGCCAGTAGCAGCCAGCGGGGAGCAGTGGGAGCAGGTGAAAGACCTCGCACAGGGGAGCTGGGCTTAATGGACTGAACTGAAAAGCAATTGATTTTCTAGTTCTCCTATTTATTGAACTCCTTTAGAAGGGCTATCTTTTTATTGCAGTGCAACCCTCGGTGTTTCTTTCTTCTTTCGGTCTGGTTTGGTTGGTTGGTGGTTTTATTTCCTCCCTGAAAGCTCCAGGTCTGTGCTTTGGGAGCAGGGAGCGTTGTGATGTGGGAACCTGTGGTCTGTGGCCTGTAAATACTGTGTGTTGGGTCTGTGTAGCTTGTGGATGGGGCTGGGGAGCTGCGGGTGCATATGGGTCCCTGGGCACTGGCCACCCTCTGGTCAGGGGTGTAACCTGCTCTTTTCCTGGCTGCACGCCTCGTTTGGAAAAGATTTCACATTTATTACCAAAAAATATTAGGGTTTTCTTTTTTTTTTTTTTTTTTTCCTCTTTTTTTTTTTTTTTTTTTAAGGAATTGCTCAATGAATAAACAACCCTTATCCACCCTTCCTGTTTGTCTGTTCCATCCAAAGGCGCTTGGGAAGTTGGAGTATCGCATGCCAGAGAGCCAAAAATGCTGAGCAGGGGAGATTTCCTCATGCTACAGGCAGCGTGTTTGGCTCAAAGCTTTGTTCTGCCTGCAAGGACATTCCAAAGGAAGCCCTGAAAGAGCTGAGGAGGGGAGAGGGGCACAGCAAGTCCTGCTCACACTCTCTCAGCAGTCACCGAGGAGCTCACCCCATATCCTGAGTGCTGAGGAAGGGGAGAAGGAATTGGGCAGTTCTTGGAGCCCTCCAGCCACTGCCGTGGCTCAGCACACAGCCAGCTCAGCCCCTGCATGCTGCAGGCACAGCCAGAGCTGTTTGTAACCAGCTGGGGTTACGAGTGACAGCCTCTCCCAAACCCCATGACATACAGATTACACAGCACAGGGGTAGAGTCTGCTCCAAAGGAGCCTTTAAACACAGCTAAGGCTCCCTGGCCCCCCTTCCCTGCCACACTGCCTCATGTGACGTGGCTCTTAGCAGCCCAGCCTTGAACATCTGCTTTAAACACAGTGCTGGAACTCTAAGGGACAGCATTACCTGCTGCAGGGGTTCTGGCATCCTTAGTAGATCACAGACCTTAGCAGGTCAAGAGCAGCAATTGGCAGATACAGAGCAGTGCTCGCTCCGAAGCAGGTCTCATTAAGTTAATGTCTAGTGGAGAGAACTAAATGATGTGTTATCTCCTCCTGCACGGGTGAGCTTTCAGGGACGACTGAACACAGGGGTTTAGACTTTATTCAGTACAGTTAAGGAACAGACATACAAACAGGACGGGGTTGTGTAACTGAGGTACACGCTTCCCAATCCCAAACACTATGTGACTGCAGTCCAAAACTCTGGGCTCAGAGACAAAGCCCATCCCTACCCCAGCAAAGACTTTGTTCCTGCTTTACCCTATGTGTCACCATGGCTTTCTCTGAGAAGTGTTGCTGACAAGCAGATCTGCACCAGGAGAGGCAGAGGGAGATGAGGAAACAATCCCTCAGCCCAGAGTGCTGCCAGGCAGAGGCAAGAACCTTCTGCATCACTGCTGCCTGGACAATCTCCTGCAAAGGGCCACTTCAGTTTATAGTGAGCACGTCACTCTGGATCTCATGGCTCAACTGAGTCTGGAGGTCACTCAACTTCTTCTTCAGGCCAGACAATGCAGAGAGAACGATGGTTTCGGGGCGCAGAGAGCCGCAAGACTCCACATTGTAATAAAACCTGAGGGTACAAGTTGGGGAGGAAGTTATCAAGTGCTCTGTGCAGAGGTGCAAAACCTGAGAGCACCCAGTTGTAGCTCACCAGGACACACCACAGGGAGATCTGCTGGGAGCCCCAGCCACCAGCACTGCTGAGCTCCCAGCTGGGCACAAGCCAGCGCTGCCCTGCTACAGAAGCAGCCACAGACCCCCACAGAGCTCAGAGCAGCCCTCACGACCCTCCAAGACACAAGAGCACTTGTGAGATTTTCTCTTCTCAGCTACGTGATGTGAAAGCTACACCAGGAAGCTAAGACTGGCTGTCAGGCTGCAGGCGCTCCTGCAGCACATATCACCTGGAAGAGAGGGTAGCAACAGTAATCAGAGCATGAGAGACTCACACGGGTGAATAATACTGCTGATGACATCAGTGTCTCCGACATCACCCTAAGCCATCTCTCCAAGCCTCCTGACTGCAATGCTCTACCTGGTAACAGGAACTCAGAAGAGTCACCTAGTATCTCCCAGAGGGCAAAACCTGCCAGGCCTGGGCACATCACCAGTTAACTGCAACTCCTGCTCTGCTTTTTAGGGAGCAGCAGCTCTCTGTGCTGGCCAACTCTGGTGTAGCATATCTGACTCACACCAACAGCAAATGCAGTGCACCCAGCTCGATCCCCCACCTCCCAGCAGCATGTCCAGCTCCCTTACCTCTCAGGCTTCCCATTGGGGTCATATGGAGCCTGAGCATCCTCCTCATCGATCTCCGAGTATTCACTCTTGGGCCTAGAATCAGAGAGCAGGGAAGGTCAGCGTCGGATCAAGTCATGGAAAAGAGCTCAAATTAATGTAGCCCTTTCTATTTCCTCTGCCTTGAGCAGTCTGAGAAGCCAAGATAGGAAATTCCATGCCCACCACGTTCTCCTGCTGGCCTCCCTCAGACCCAGTGACGCCAAGAAAGGCTGATCCTCACGTCCTGTCATCAGTGGTCCTCAATAAAACTGTGCTTCCCAACCAAAGCCTCCACTTGCAACAAACTGCTGGGAAAGACAAAGCATTTATGGACCTTCACGTTACTTGCCACATCATCTCTTACTGAAAACGGGGCAGAGACTGAATCTCTTTCCACCACGTCTGCTTTGAGAGTCCAGCTGCATTCCAGTGCTCTGCCAACAGCTCAAAACACAGCGAGTATGTAAAACCAAAACCAAAACAATAACTATCCTTGGACAGCAGAGGCATTTGTCTCTGTATTGTCTTCACCAGGGGCAAGATGAACTTGGAAAGAAATCCATTATCATCAGGGAACACAAAGCAATCCAACAGCAATCAGCATTTCTTTCGGTCCTTCAAGCTTTGACACAGATTTTGTCAAGAACCTCTCAAGATCTGTTTCCAGGCGCCCAGCTTGCTGCACCAAACACCAGGCTCATGAGGACACAGCCCAGTCTGCCACCAGACAAAGGAATCTGCATCAGCACTGCCCTGGGCCACCCAGACTGGTAACGCCTCGCTGCAAAGGGACGCGGGCTCAACCTGTCACTTCTTAACATCCAGCACTACAGACATGAAACCAGAGAATTTTTTGCGGCACCACAACGAAGCCTAAAATTATTTCAAACCCTGATTTGAAATTCCACATCACAGAGACGTTCCTGCTTCGCAACCATCCAGCCTCCAACCCAAACGATCAAGCAGATTTCGGTGCCATTTTCCTGCCACGAATCCTTTGGCAATTACAGAACTCTCCAGTTCTGCCCCCAGAGTGACGGTGACAGAGGCACACCAACACTTCTGATGTGCTCGTGGCAGAGATACTGCAGAGCAGCAGCCTGCTTGGCCCACCCCCACCCAGACTGACCGAACCAGCCCACAGAGGCGTCCTGCAGAGCCCATCAAAGCCAAGCTTTGGGGTTTGTTCCTTTGGGGTTTGTTCCTTGCACCCGTAAAAATGGCCTGGCAGATCTCAGAATCTGGGCAGAGTCCCTCTGGCAGAAAACACCTGGCAGACAGCTGGAGGTGTGGAATACAGGCTAACTGCTGCTCCCAGCAGCTCCTTTACTGACAGCTGCCTTAGCAAGGGGCAACATAAACAAGGCAATGCGTTTGAGTGTGCAGGCTCAAAGCGGACAGTGAGGAAGAGCGACAGGCCTTTTGGAGTCAAGCCTGGCAATGCGGGGCCTGGGCAGGAGGAAAACCTGCTGAGCCCCTTCTGCTGCACGGCCTCCTGTCCAGCTGCAGCTCCGCTCAAGCTTCTGTTCCCCCCGGTTTCTGCAGTCCCTGCACCAAATCCTGCTTCTGCACTGAGGTCTTCCCGACCTTGTGCAGCTCTGCCTGCTGCCCTGCAGTCACAGCAGCTCATCTGCTGTCCCTTCCAGCTCCTGCTCGCTGCTGCCTCGGCTGAAGCACCCCGTGCCTCTCTGCTGCCAGCTCCAGCGTGCTCAATGGCAGCACGTCTGCTGGGTGGTCACTAAGATGTGAGTTTATACAAGAAAAAGTGACACTTAGTGACCCAAATTATGCCCTGGGCTAAAATGACAGAATCACAAAATGATCTGGCTTCAAAGGAACCCTTAAAGACCACCCAGTCCCTTTGCCTTGAAGCTGTACGTTTTCTGCTTGGACACTGTGTTGACTGTAACTCTTTCAATGTGGCTATCCAGCCAAGTCCCTGTCTTCCTTAGTTTTCCCAACTGTACAGTAACTGTTGAGTTCCTGAACCACTAATGGAGCACCTGGGGAAAGGACCTGGTCAGTCCTGGGAGCACAGGTGAATGCAGTTCAGCTGTGTGATAAGAAGGGGTGGAGCCTGGCTGTACCTCTCTTAGACCTCATTTAAGGGCTGGCTGCCACTGGGGAAGGGTCTCTGGTTGGAGATTCCTCTTTTGTGGAGCTTTTACTGTGAGTCTAGATCTTCAGAGACAGGTGAGCACTTCCCTTCTTTCCTTTCTAATGTCCTCCTATTGTGTTGGTCTCTTTGCTGTTACACCCATCTCTATACACCTGTGCAGCATCTCTATTTTCTTCCCAGGATACGTGGCCCTGGTTCCCCTGCCTATGTAGCTCCTTCCTTTGACCAGGAGGTCGGCCACACTGGTCTCCTGCCTTCCTTGCCTGACCTCTTATAAATGGGAATTTATGTCCTAACAAAAACATCTCTGAACAGCTGCCACCTCTCTTCTGCTCCTTTATCCTAAAGGACAATTCCTCAGGGGGTTCCACCCATTAATATTTTACAAAACTGAGAATTTGCTCTCCTAAAATTAAGGGTCCTGACTGTACTCTCTGCTTGAGATCATAAAATCCACAAGGGCGCAATTAGCACAGCCCAGGTTGTCACTATTCTTGGTCTCTCCAAATAGTTCATCTGTGTTGGCAAGTAACAGACCCAGTAACTGCCAATTACTAATACTTCACGTGCTTTTCTTGTGGCACAGGTTCTAATGCAAGTGGGTGGTTGGATCAGCTTTACGTGGCTGGTTTATCTGTTACTCAGGTGCTCTTCATTCTCCCTGCACAAAGCATCTGACTGTTGTGTAGGAGCTCTTCAGGAGGTGGGGAAACTAAGTGTCACCTGGGAAATCTTCCCAAATCCTTCCTGACTGATGCAGCCTTCGTTTATCCCAGGGGGCCAACAGCAGTGAAACAAAGATTACAGAGACACCCCAGCAATTAGGTTCAGCAGCCCTCGAGTGTCAGACTGAAGCTCTACGGCTGCGATCGCACTGGATATTGCAGGTTGGCCTTCAGGCTGCATCTCACACCCCAGACAGGGCCAGCCTGGCCATGTGCTTTAGCCAGCCATGACGTACCACTCCTCTGGCTTTGGGTACACCGTGTGCCTCAGCGCGTTGTCTGGGTCGTACTCAAAGGCCACCCCTGCTGTGGGGTTCCACTTGGCGTGCTCCTTGCCGAAGCCCTTCTTGGCATAGGCTCTCAGCTTCAGCTCCTGGCCCTTCCGCAGCTTCACAATCAGGATGTCTACAGAAAAGCCAGTGTGAGAAGGCTGATGAGAAGAAATGAGCGTGCAGGATGGCACAGGGAAAAAGCAGGAATGATTAGTGCCCAGGACCGTGTCACCAGAAGCTGGGCCTTGCTCGGATTCTTAGAGGGGCTCCCTATGTCCCCAGAGTAGCTAAGGAACATCCTGCAAAGTATAAAAGTTGCAGGCATACCCAAAAGCACAGCTTAGGCCCCAAAATACATGCTGCAGCACTTAGCATTTTTGTTTTCTACGTTCTCAAAACTGAAGAGAGCAGTGCTCTCTGACACAGGACACTTGTTTGTTTACTAACACAAAATGCTAACCCTGCTGACGCTGGTGACAGTTTTAGATGTCAGTTCCAGGTTTACACAACTAGTAAACAAAGGATGGGGTTCAGAGAGACTGAGAGGAAAACTCATTTCCTTCAGCAGCTCTGACTCTCTGCTGAATGCAACTCACCATCCTGCTCCACGTAGTCATTGGGGTCGTTGTCTCTGCTCCGAGATGTTACCTGCAGGACAACAAAAGCAAGGAAACAAATGAAAATGCCAACCTCACGGACAGCATTACCTACAAAATGCCTGCGGAGAGCCACTGCAGAGTGACTTACAGCAACAAACACAGCCCACCCTATTTAATGGAAATCAGGGCAATTTAGACAGCTGCAACTCAGTTTGTGACATTCTGCTCCACCAGACTGCTGTCTCCCACAGGGTAAAGAGGGTCACAGCCTGTGCCTAGTGCAGCTGCTTGGTTCTGCAACAGTTCAGTCGCCCATGACACTGCTGGAAGATGATGCACAGCTGAAGCAAGAGACAGCAAGCTGTATCTATTGCTTTAATTAGGCACTCTGGAACCATCTTCACCACCAGAAGCAGCCCCCAGGCTGCGGTGACCTCTGGATGCAGGATTAGAGCAGGGCCCTTCCAGCTGACAGCTTTTTCAAATATTCTCCATGAAGCCCCTTTGCATCTGCTCTGCTTTAGCTTTGCCAACCCTCCCCAAGGTGACTGGGCAAGAGCCATTTGGCAGCACTGCTCTGGCCCGGGCTCCTCACACCTTGCCATGCTGAGAGCCAAGACTCAGAAAGCTGGGGGCCTCTGGGCTCCTGCCAAGCATTTGAAGGGGCTGACCTTGCCAGAGCTCTGGCAGCAAGCGTGCAGAAGGATGCAGCAGCCCAACAGGAGGACACAAGTGCACCTGCTCCTGGTGTTCAAGGCAAGACGAATAGGCTGCCTCACCCATGAGATGAGGGTGCACGGTAAGGCTTTAACAAGGCCACACTGGCTTAGATGTCATCAGACAGCAAGTGAAGAATGAGACAGCAAAAAGGACAATGGCACACCACTCTTTCTGCAAATATTCCTGCTTTGTGCTCCCATGATATTCTAAGTGAGGATTTCAGGCAGTATGAAATGTTCCTGAAAGCCTTCTTTTGTCCATACCCCACACGTTAGCCACCCCAGCCTCAGTGGGAATGCAGAGAGGGGACGTGCTGACAGGCAGAGGTTGCACACACCGGAATGACACGGGGGTTGTTGGAGATGAGGTCACGGGATGTGACGTGCCGCGTCTGGTCCTCGTTGCAGCGGACATCAAGGGTGAACTCCACAGAGCACTCTGGACAGAATTCATCACATGTGCAGTCCTGGAACAGACACAGGTCAAAATGCTTTATGTCAAAGTGCTCTCAGCAAGAATTTATGGGGTTTCTTGACAGATCGAGCACCCACCACCAAAACAAGCACCCGAGACGTTTTGCTTTACTCACCCTGGAATACTGCATCTTATCCACAATGTCGTCGCTGGTGAGTGGGATGAGACCTGTGGAAAGAGGGCAGTGAGACACGGCTGGGTGAGATGAGGGGAATGCAGAGGAACAGCAGCCTTGTGATAAAGGTGTTGCAACAGCCTGAGACAAGTTGTGCCCAGCACTCACCCAGTCTGTGGGCAATGAATTCATCATGGAGCACTGAGGAGTTGGCATCTATCTGGACCCAGTCAATAGCTGCAAGGAAGAACAAAATGAGCTGAGAACAAGCTAGACAAGGGAGAATAGCTCTAATCTAACAGAGGGTAGATCTAGGTAAGATATAAGAAACCCTTTACTCAGAAGGCATTGAGGCCCTGGTATAGCTGCCCAGAGAGGTTGTGGATGCCTCATCCCTGGAGGAGGCATTCAAGGCCAGACTGAAGGGGATCCTAGGCAGCCTTACATTAGGAAATACTACTATGTTAGGAAATACTACTTGTCTGAAAGAGTGGCCAGGCACTGGAATGGGCTGCCCAGGGAGGTGGTGGAGTCACCGACCCTGGAGGTGCTCAAGGTGTTGGATTTTGTGTTGAGGGACACGGTTTAGTGAGTACTACTGGTGACAAGTGGATGGTTGGCCTAAATCATTTTGTTGGTCTTTTCCAACCTTGGTGATTCTGTGATTCCAGTGGGATAGAGGGCACCCAGCACACAGCAGGGATTGGTGCTCGATGAGCTTTAAGACTCCCTCCAACCTAAGCCGCTCTCTGACAGCTGAGTGGTTGATGTGGGCACACACAACTTTCCGGGTGAAGGCAAAAGGAGCCGTGACGACCGCCAGACAAAACAGCAAAGAAACCAGTACCTATAATGGGCACCTCCGCTATGAACACCCTCCGGATGGAGTTGGCCACGCTGCAAGAAACACCTCCGTTCAGCGCGCAGAACCGCGGGCCAACGCCGCTCCCGCCGCCCGCCCCGCAGCCCCGCCCGCGGCCTGCCCAGGCCTAGGCCCTCCCCGCCGCCCACCGAGGCCCTCCCGCTGCGCCCCCTCCCCTCAGCCGGCTTCGGGACGGGCCACCCGGGGCGCCGCTCACGCCAGGTCGGTGTTCTCGATGATGAATTTGACGTTCTCGTCCGTCAGCTCGGTGATGCGCACCGTGGGCTGGTTGGCGTACGGCATGGCCGCCCCCGATGGCGCTCTGCTAGGCCGCCGCCGCCCCCCTCCCGCCGCCCTCGCGCGCCCCCTGCCGGCTCGGAGGACCCGACCCACCCAGCCCGCCGCGGGAGAAGCAGAACAGAGGCGTGCGGAGGTGAGAGTGCGGGGCTTTATTGGTGCTGCGGGGAAAGGACGCTCCATCCTCGCTCCGGTGCGGCTTCGGAACGCGGGGCTCCGTCCTCAGCGGCGCTGGTTCAGCCCCGTCAGGTTGGTGATCTGTGGGAGCAGATGGGGCACTGTCAGACCCAGGCAGTGGAGGGAGTGCAGCACTTTGCAGGTAACGCGCAATGGGCCCCGCAGTGGTGTAGAATCCGAGTTAGAAGGGGCTCGTACTGCTCGTGGAGACACTGGCTCCATGGCACCGCCCAATCCCTGTGTCTGTGCTGGGAAATGCTCCCACGCTCCAACCGTAACTGCAGGTGGAGGCAGAAATGCTTGGGAGCTGCTGCAAATAGTGAAAACCAGGTCTAGTTTATGCAACAGGCAGTTTGGCTTTCTCATGTTGTTAATCATGAGCTCATCCTGCAGCTTTGGACTTCGTTTTATGCTGTATTACAACTCTTCTCAGCACAGAAAAGCAATCTGGGCCCAAACTAACAAGAAAATCATCTTCATGAGCATTTAAGCTACAAAGAACAACTCTCCTTTATGCTGTCATTTAGATTCAAGAGGGAAAACAAGCTAGTGTTAAGTGTGGAAGGGAGCATAAAGATTCTGCCCTCATGGCCTCGCTGACTTCAGCATTACTTACAGTCACTGCAGCTCCCATCAGACCCTGGGCAAGTGCTTTGCCAGTTGACTGTACCTAGGAGACAGGAGAATTAGCTTTCCTCTGCAGTTACACTGTGGGTACCCAAACACAAAGATGCCACCAAACATGCATTTGCTACAGGAAGATGCTGATATAAGCCAAGTGCTGCAGATGAAGGCTACTCGAAGATAAGAAACAAGGAAGGGATTTCCTGGGAGCAGCACACAGCTCCTAATCATCACATCAGTCAAAGAGGGGCTCCTACATCTTATTTTACTGCAGCATACATAAGCAATGACTGATGCAGAGCTGCCAGCCCCCAGTACACCAGGGGTCTTTCAGCAAGCGTGAGATGGAACAGCCAGCCTTGTCTGCACACACGCTGGTACATGAGGGATGCTGTGTGTGCCTGGCCCACAGTGTTACCTGCTGAGCTGCACTGCTCATGTTCATGGCATCAGCTACTCTGTTTTCCAGGAAACGCCACGTGTCTTCGAAGTCAGGGGACGTATCCTGCATCATCACCAGTTCTGTGGTGTTGTAGATGCCAGTGAGCACGGCCCGACGAGTGTACCAGTTAAACTGCAAGGGCACGGATGGAGAGAGAGATGAGCTGAGCACGGGGCACAAAGCGGCCCTGCAGAACCACAAGGGAAAACAACACGCCGTCTCCTCATCGTTAGCAACTGCCTCTGGTCAGAGAAACTGCTCAGTAAACAGCCCTCGGACAACGCATTCCTTCCTGACAAACTGCAGCTCGCCTCTGTGACGCAATGGGCTGCCAGCCAGCACGGACATCTGACAGCACAGCTGCTCCTGTGGCAGCAGGCAGAGATTGTGAGTACTGGCTGTAAAACCACAGAACTGCCTGCTTCTAGTTGCAAGCATGCACCTACAGCAAACGTACCCAGCTGGTTGGCTGCGTTGTGCGAGGGTTGAGCTTTGCCTTAAAGGCTGCTAGCAGGAGATGCAACGCTCAGATTCCACATCTGACGGCTGTGTTTAGAACTGAACTCCAAGTGCAGTTTGCACAAGGTACAAAAGTGTAGAAAGGGGACAAAGTGATGACAGAACTGTGCAAGGGATCACAGAGATGCACCTTTCCTGAATGCTATCGCTGGAATAGCAGTATTGCCTGCTCTGTCACTGGATGTGTCATACACTGCTGGCAGCAGTGCTGTAGGATGTATTACACCAACAGGTTACACAGTGCAAAAATGCACAGCTACCTCCAACTCTTCAGCTTTTCCAGTTGCTCTGGATTCACTAACAGCCAAAATGTGTATGTTTAAAAACAGGTCTTCAGCTTCATTCGCTGCTTCCTTCGTTACGGTGATTAAAATGTGCAAGTGCCTAGAAAAAAATACTGGCTGTTCCATTCATGATTACAGTGCAACGGGAGAATGGAAACACTAATTTAATTCTGAAGACAGTCAGATGGAAAGCTGTGCTGTCTGCATCACCTCACAAACTGGGACAAGGCGATGTGAGTGGTCACCGTTTGCAGACGGATCTCCGATGCATCTGAGACCAAACTCCTGCTCCTTGTACAGCATCCCACAAAAGCACTTCAGTGAGGAAGCTCTGAGTCTGTTTGACCTTCATAAGCCATAAGGGACTTGCAGTTCCTGATGCAATCACAGTCTTTCAGGTTTTCTTTTTCTAGATTATTCCTTTAATTTTTTTGCCCTCTATTTATTTTCCACTGCAGTAACTTCTCTTTCATACTCAGATAAAAGAAGTTTATTAAAGTAGTTTGTTAAATGGTTCATGCAGCTTTTCCCTACATCTATATGAATTAAAATAATGTATTAATTGTTTTAACTAAGGTTATAATTTCCTTTTATTCCCTGCCAGAGAGATGAAAGCTTTAATAAGCTACTCGTATTTTTAGGTAGATTCTTTAAAGTTTTCAAGTTAAATCTGTGAATGCTGCTGTTGCTGGAAGAGGCAACTGCTTGCTAACTGAATTGGATCGACTTCTTAGTCTCAAAATCTCAACAATTTTGTCTGTCTCCCCCAAAAAGAATGCTGATTAATTGAAAGCAGCTCCTTTTAATTTGCACAACTCCCATTGGAAATAATTTGCCATGCTGGCTTCTGTGTCTTGTTGGAAGCTATAGTACAGCTTCTGAAGACCTTTGGGGGCTTTGGAAAGCATCTCCTTCATTCAAAAAATGGATTGTATCAAGAGAGACCCAGCTCAATGCCTGTTTCTACTCATCATTTTCCTGAGGCGCAGATGGGCAGAAGGAGCCTCTCTGCAAGGTGCAAGGACTTACATCTGTGGACTGGTCTCCAGCATGGTGCCATATATCATCAATCATGCTGGTGAGGAGGTTGAGGCTCGAAGGGATGTTATGTGGGAGCAAGAGGACGCTGACAGCCTGAGAAAGAAATAGGCAGATTAATGGAAGAGTCAAAGAGAGGAGGGCGCTGTGTGAAAACAGATCAATGTTTCTTTGCTGTTATCTTTTCTTGTTGCTGCTGGCTGGCCTCCAGCTCCCAGTGAGACCTCCAAGCTCTATTCACTGGCACTGGCCTTTCCAAGCAGCAAGACTTGCACAGAGCACACAGTGCAGCAGCTCAGCTCATGACTCAGCCGTGCTCATGACACCAGTGCTCCTGTGTTGGCTCCCTGAGCTGCCTCTCCAGGCACAGAAACAGCACAGGCCAAGATGACTCACCCCTGTGCTGCGTCCCTGCGGGAAGGGAGGCAAACCTCATTTCTCTGAATTTGACTTTGAACTCAAAGCAGCTATGAAAGGCAGAACAGACAGCCATAATGGCCCTCCTGAGCTCCTGCAGCCTTTGAAAATACTAACAACGCCCGGAGAGTTTCAAACCACCCACATCCTTCACCAGACAAGCTATGCTAATCTGTAACAAAAAACATGAATCCTATCTTCTCTCTCTGCAAGGAGAGCTGGGTTCAGCCACCCAGAGGCCAGCAGTGACGCTGGACAAGAAAGGCTAACTTTGCAGTGACCTTTGCAGCCCAAGATTGGGAACTTTGTTACTGTGGCTGCAACTCCTTTCTGATGTTGCAAAGAATAACTCAAAACTTCCATAAGAATTTTGGAGCATAGAGGCTTCCCAGTACACAGAGCTATCCTCGGGTTGTCAAGGGTTTGTCACCTGCAATAGTAAGCAGGCAGTTTCTTGCAACAAAGCAGTAATTCTGCATTTACAATCATCAGATGATCCCAGTGCTGCTAGAACAGTGCTGCAGGGAGCCTGACACTGCAATGACACTGTAAATACAGCTGAGCAGACACCCAAGTGTTATTCCCTGGGGATCCCAGATGGGTGGAGTGAAAAACGGAGAGGTTTGCCTTTCTGGAAAGGCAAGAAATAGTTGTTCTAAAGAGACTGCCTTCCTCCAGGGCTGCTGTCCTCTTGAAGGCTGTGAATCATTTGAAACCAGCCAGGGTTTCACTTACAACCTTGACCTATTCTGGTGGAGACCATGTTGAAGGCCACAGGGCGTTTTAAACGCGCACACACACGCAATCCTTATATTCGTTTTGTACCTGTGGCCATTTCTCAATATATGGAATCACCATCCTCAGCCTGGCTTCCACAGCATCTCTCAGGAATTGCTCCATAGGCTTCTTCCTACAAAGCACATCCAAGATAAACAATTATCAACTTGAGAGATCAATCGTTTTCCCACCTCGGTGACAGAGATGCCAAGTATTACGTATCCTCTATGCCTGTACTAACTCTCCATCTGGGAAGCTGGTATGGTTTGGGTAAATTCTTTACATTCTTTACTTAAAAGTATCCAGTGTGTCTGGGATGGCTAGTGCCTGCCAAGGAAGATGTGTCTTTATACCCAATACTCACTCTGCCTTGCCCAGCTGCACTAGTTTTTGTTCCTCCTCCAGCAGGTCGGACAGCTTGGAGTTGCACTGAGACACAAAGTGCAGGATCAGCTCACTGCCGTCGCTCTGAAACATCCCTGCAGCAGCAGCAGAGAGATCAAGGGTCTGCAGGGAGAAGGGGAGAAGCACAGACCAGGTCACACTAAACAAGATCCAGCCAGGAAGTACGTTGTATTTATTCTGCACGTGATGCTATACGATTTAAAACAAAACAATACTGCATTAAAAAAGTTCTTTCTGTATGTATTTTTCTCTCTTTGGGATCACTGTGTTGTGCCTGAGTGTAATTCTGACAGTGTTACCCTGCATTAGTTGGGATTCGTTCCTGCCCAGTACCATCTGCTGACCGGGGTACACGGCCCAAGCGTATGTGGGGGAAGCATGCAGGCCTGGCTGTATTTGAACTTCAGTTCCATCTGGTTCTTTGCTTCTCTCCCACATACCTTGGCTCCCTCTGCAATGGCTTCAGCTGTCCAGCCATGTTCAGGCACAAACTCCAGCGCTGCTGTGAGGATTCGATGCTGCAGCTGCTCCTCGCTCTCACTGTCCTCTGACTCCTGGCCGCCCTGGCCAGTGTAACTATGAGAAGGCATTGGTACAGTGAGGGAACATCACCACACGCACAGCAACCTGGGCTCTGCCAGCTGCTCGTTGTGTGTGGACACGTCCCAAGGTCTGCTCATAGCAGACATCTCACCTCCTCCTGTAAAATCCTTCCCACAAAAGGGATTCCTAATGGCCCTTCACCATGAGAGGAGAGGGAAATAAGAGAAAGCTCAATCCAGATGGTGACGTGGAGACCAGCTGGCCTCAGATAACACACTTCTTAAAAAATAAACAAAACTAAAAACGACTAAACTAACTCTAGGTTTTTGCAGCGGGGCCTTTGGTTACACACATATACACACCACAACTGCAGATTTACAAAGAAATCCAGCAGTGAGGGCTGGTGCTCCCCCATGAATGCAAGTCCCATCCCAGGTCCTTGATGGATGGTGGCGCTGGCACCGCCACAGCTTCTCGAGGCCAAGGCCACGTTAACCCTACAGGCAGCACTACAGAGAGACACACAGAGCTCTGAGCAGCACTACAGAGAGCAGCTGAGATACCTGTGCTGCGGACTGCACTCCTCCTGCTCCGGGTGGGGATCTGCCTGTTGTGGGTCAAACTGCTGCTGTGAGGACGGTGATGGTGGGTCCTTCCTCTGCTCCTCTGAGGCTCTTCTCAGAGCAGCCGAGGCATGGAGGCCTCGCTGGGGTGCATACAGCTGGCACCTGAGTCCTGAAAGGGAAATCAGGGCTGGGACGTGTCCCTCCAACACAAGGTAAAATCATAAAATCACAGAATGGCTTAGATTGGAATGGATCTAAAAGATCATCCAGTTCCAACATGTTCTGTAAGCTGGTTGCTCGCCCCAGCTCAGGCTGCCCACGGCCCGATCCAGGTTGGCCTTGAACACCTCCAGGGATGGATGGGGCACCCACAGCTCTGGGCAGCTGTTCCAGCTCCTCATTGCCCTCTGAGTAAAGCACGGTGTCCTGACATCTGACCTAAACCTCCCCTCTGTTAATTTAAAGCCATTCCCCCTTGTCCTGCTGCTATCTGCCCTGCCAAAGAGTTGCCTTCCCTCCTGTCTATAGGCTCCCTTTAGGTACTGAAGGTTGCAACGAGGTCACCCTGCAGCCTTCTTTTCTCCAGGTTGAATAAACCCAGCTCCCTCAGCCTGCCCTCATAGGGGAGGTGCTCCAGCCCCCTGTCCAGTCACCTTTGTGCCCTCCTCTGGGCCCTCTCCAACAGCTCTCTGTCTTGTTTGCCCTGGGGGCTCCAGATCTGGACTCAGTACTGCAGATGGGGCCTCACAAGAGCAGAGCAGAGGGGGACGATCGCCTCCCTGTCCCTGCTGGCCTCTTCTGACGGAGTCGCTCCCTGTCCCGCTCCTAACTCCCCTCACGCACACGAAGGCGGCACTCGCTCTCCCCGCCGCATCCCCTCACACCCACGCAGCGACGCGCAGGCCCTGCGACAAACACCGGGAGACCCCGCAGCTCCACAGCGCCCCCTCGCGGCACCGCTCCGCTGCCCTTCACCTCACCTTGCCCCGCCCCGGCCCCGCCCCACGCACGGCCACGCTCGCGGCCCCACGCGGGCACGCGCCCCCTTCACCCGTCGCGCTCCGCGCGCTCCCTCACCCGCGCGGCCCCGCCACAGCCGCCAGCCCGCACGCCGCAAGCCGCTTGCCGCCGCCGCCGCCATCTTGGAAGCGGGCAGCGGCGGTGACGCAAGGGGCGGTGCGTGATGACGTCAGAGCGGGACGGGGGCGCCGGGCGAGCGGGTAGAGGTGAGCGGGACGGCGGCGAGCGGGAGCTTCGCTTCGGCGCTGGGTTGGTTCTCGCCGCCCCGCCTGACCGCCGCGCTCCGTTCCTCTGCCAGGTGGAGATGGAGGAGTTCGGCGTCGCCGCAGGGCAGCGCGTGGCCGTCATCTGGGACGGATCCTCGCCGGTGGGAGCGCTGAAGGGCTTGGTGGATTCCGTCCGGGCCTCGGTGGGAGCTGACGGTCGTGTGGCCGTGGAGAACGTTAACCAGCTGTCTCAGTGTAAGAACCACCTCAGTTTTTCGCTGTCTGCCTTAAAAGGAGAAGGGAGTTCTGCTTTCTGAGCTCGTGTGTGCCCTGGTGTAAGTCAGGCAGCAGCCGTGGTTAATAGCTGGCAGTACAGCAATAGGGCAGTACAGCAATAGAACAGTGCAGCAATAGAGCAGTGCAGCAATACTGGTGTGTGCCCTGCTGGTGTTTCAGCCAGCACTGCTGCTCAGTTTGGGGCACCTCAGGGTGTCCAGAGAACAGAGCGGAGCTGCAAGGGGTCTGAGTGCAGCTGTGGGAGAGGCCGAGGGAATGGGGTGGTCGTTTGGAGAAGAGGAGCTTGTGGATCTGCAGCCCTGACAGGAGGATGTGGGGAGGATGTGGGGAGGAGCCAGCCTTTCTCCCAGCTGACAGCGATAGGGTGGAAAGTAATTTCTTGGAGTTGTTGAGGGGAGGTTCAGGTTGGTTATAAGGAAAAAAGCGTCTTCTCAGAGCTGTGATTCACTGACATGGGTTCCCGTGGCGGTGGCTGAGTCACCATCCCTGGAGGTGTTCACGAAATGTGGATGTGTAATACCTAAGGACGCGGTTAGTGGGCAGTGTTGGTGGTAGGCAGACAGCTGGACTAGTTCATCTTAGAGCACTTTCCAACCTCAATGATTCTGTGATCCAGTTGCTGCTGTTGTACATAGGTACGAGAGATGAGGGGAGAGGCAGAACTGATCATTAAGCAAATATTTATGAGTGTGTATGTGCATAAAATTGTACTGTCTTCATCTCTCCCTCTGCAGCGGCTCACAGGGAGTCCAGTTTCGATGTGATTCTCTCTGGTGTGGTACCAGGCAGCACAGCACAGCACAGTGCAGAGGTACTGGCAGAAATAGCTCGAATACTGAAGCCTGGGGGTCGTGTCCTCCTGAAAGAACCCGTGGTGACAGAATCAGGTAAGAGAATCTGCATCAGCCTCGCTTTCGTGGCAGCAAAGGAATTCCTGCGAGAATTAGGCTGAAATGAAAGGCAGCAGGAGCACTGGCTGACAGATTTTCGTTATCCTGAAATGCTAACGTGAATAGTTAAGGGTTTATCTTGTTTAAGACATGTAAAGTCTGGAGTAGGTGGAGTGTCTTATTTCAGAAAACACATCTGTCAGGCTGGGATTTTGGTGGATTTGCAGTAAAGTGCAATTGGGACTATTAAGAGGTGTCTAAGAGAAGAAGCCCATGATGAATTTTGGCTTAAACACTGAGTAATAGAGTAACAGAGAGTAATTGCCTACTAGAGCAAGGCTCTGGAGTATTATGGTTTTGAATATAGCAATCATTATCAGTTTATGCTTTGAAAAATTCACGGGTTGTTCATTGCAATATGTGAAAGTGTTTGGGGGATTTTGTTGTTTTGTGGTTTTGGTGTGTGGTTTGTCTGTTTGTTTTTCTTTTAATATTGATGTTAATTGAGTTGAGGAAGGTTTTGGTGTATGTAGAACAGATCTGGAGCTGGAACCACCTTTATGTTCTCAAGCCACTCTTCCAATGAACAAGCTGCTCTGTTCTGTTCCTGCTTTTACTGGAGAGGGCCCGCTTTAGAGCTGTGGTTTGGGTGCTTTGTAAAGGTCTCTTGCTCTTGCAGGTTCCAAGCACCACATCTGGTTTTCGGTGACCGCTGTTCTTGTTCTTCTTGCTATTTCCTGCTTTTGTGTCTTCCAGGTAACAACAGCGGGATCAAGACAGCAGCCAAACTCCCTGCAGCTCTGACTCTCTCTGGGCTGGTGGAAGTGAAGGAGGTATGTTTGTACTGACTGCTTTCAGAATAAAAACAATAGTTCTGCTGTTACCTAAAAGTAGACGAGGACTTGATGGGTAGCAAGGTGTTTAGCTGTCCTGGTTCACCGTGGATGTTCATGGATGCAGTCTGCCACAGCCTTTTCTTGCTGCAAAGGTGGTGTTATTCTTTAGAGTTGAGGACAGGAGGGAACCTGTCTTCTATCATGCCTGCTGGTTCACTCCATGCTGATCAGCCCTTTGTGTTGCACTGCAGCTGGGACTGACTCTTCTGTTCTCTTCTGTTCTGAGGGATAAGCAACTGGAGCCAGACACAACTGGTTATCTGTGTTCACAGGAGTAGTGGATGGGGCACTGAAATAAGGGGGCTCAGTGTGAGAGTAACCAAAGATCTTGCATTGCAGCTGCGAAAGGAACCTCTGACCGCAGAGGAGGCCCAGTCAGTCCGAGAGCATTTGGGCTACCAAGGCAATGACCTTCTCATTGTTCAGATAGAAGGCAGGAAACCCAATTTTGAAGTGGGATCTTCAAGTCAACTCAAACTGTCCTTTGCCAAGAAAACAAGTCCTTCAGGTGAGGCGTGATGTGAGCTGAACGTGGGAATTGCCCTTCTCTGAAGTGACCGGCATCCCTGTGGTAGGGAGTGCTACCTAAATGTCTGTGGAGTGGGGCTTTCCAAAGTTGTCTGAACTCTCTCGTTGCTGGAAATAGATGGGGCAGTGGCTGGGGTACCTACTGCTTCTTGTTTTGTTTTGGATCCAGGAAAGCCCTCTGTGGACCCAGCTACTGCTAAGCTGTGGACGCTGTCTGCCAGTGATATGAATGACGAAGAGATGGTATCCATTTTTTTTTGTGAGACCTTGCTGTCATTCCTTGTCTTTTCTTTTCTACTCTAGCTAATTTCAGTCATTCCTCTTGGGAAGTTTTACAACTTAAGAGGTACAAAAGCATCCCCAGTGCAGAATTTCTCAGCTGCTGTTTGAGGTGTTGGGTGCCCACAGGTGTGGTGAGAATTGAGGGAAAGGCATTGTTGAGAGGGAATGTTTGCAGTGCTAGTGCTACAGCGAGTGGTGTTTCTGTGAATGCAACAGCAATGTCATTCCCTACTGGATTTATTGTGTGTTTTCTTCCATGGTATATTCCAGGATCTTTTGGACTCTGATGAGCTGTTGGATTCAGAGGATTTGAAAAAGCCAGATCCAGCCTCTCTCAGAGCTCCGTCCTGCAAAGAAAAGGGCAAAAAGAAAGCCTGCAAGAACTGGTCAGTGTTGGGATTAGCATGTCAGTGTGCCTCCTAACTCACAGCAATGGAACCTTAGAGTGGGATGTTTTTAAAAAAGATTGTGGGAAAGCATAATTCACTTGGTTCGTGTCCTTTCCTTATCTTGGCTATCTGAAGGTAAATCCAAACACAGTGAGCATTGGCTAGCTGTGCCAGAACTGCTACAAACTGCCATACTGGAGTGACCAGCAGTCTTCTCAGAGGTAGCTACACGGTTTGTGTAGCCTTCACTAAAATCCTATTCCCACTGATTTTAAGGAGGAACAGTTTATGTGGTTTAACTGCTTTAGAGTCATTTCCTTCTTGCTTCAGCTGGAGGAGTGTGCTTCAACACTTGTTTTGCAAATTGGTATTGGAGAACAAAGTACAGAGCGTGAGAGTCCCAGAGCCAGCTGTGTTGTGTGGCAAAGTGAGGGCTGTTGCATGAGAGCAGTTTTGGAACAAGGATTGTAACTGCTGGCTTTTAAATCGGAACGATGCGAGTGACTTCTTTATTTTGTACAGCACGTGTGGCCTGGCTGAAGAGCTGGAACAGGAGAAGAAGAGCTCGCAGCCCAAATCTGCCTGTGGAAATGTAAATAGTCATTTTGTTTGTATATCGTGGTTTGCAGGGTGCAGTCTGTGTCTGAGAAGTTTTCTCTGATGACTGCTCACTAAAGCAGCTGCTTACTGCTTTTAAAACGCTGCCTGCTTCTGCAGAGCTTCTGCCTTTACCATCTCACCTCTTAGAACGGCCCCTGTGCTCTGCACCAGTTTGTTGTGTGCCTGCAGTGCGAGTGCCACCTTCACAGGAGGCAGAGTAGACAGTGACCCTGTGCTTCACTTGCTCACCAGTGGTCTCCTTAGGGAAGATCACCTTATGGGAGTACAGTTAGGGAGCTGCTAAAGCCCAGCACGCAGCAGTGCCTAGGCAGAGCTGCCCTCCTGTAGGGCTGGGCTGGAAACTCGGTTCCTCTGTGTGAGTGCAGAGCCCTGCACCAGCTCTGTTACCTGCTAAACAAGACGTGCCCAGAGGAGGTGGAAGGGAAATGGTTTCTGTGCTGGCATATGCTGAGGAGCAGGTCGTTTCTCTAGGTGGAAAAAGCGTGTAACGAGAGCAGAGAACTGAGAGTTGCCATGATGACAAGTGTTTTCCTGTCTCTTGGCAGTGCTACCTGGGGGATGCATTCCGCTGTGCCAGTTGCCCTTACCTGGGGATGCCTGCCTTCAAGCCTGGAGAGAAGATCCTGCTGAAAGAGAACCAGCTGCACGATGCCTAAGAAAGTCATCTCTGAGCGTCCTGGAAAGGACCTCCCTGCTTTGCCATCAGCCTGAGATACAGAGGCTCTTTGTACAGCTCTCCTCCTCCTCTCAAACTCATGCTCTCCGGCCAATACTCCTCGTGGGGAGGGACTGTAGGGATTGACACTGCTGTGAGCTCATCACACGTAATCAACTTTGGGCTAAGAGATAATCTGTGGTGGCCAGTGGTCTTGTATGTATTAGACTTGTTAATGTTAAGCCTTATTGTAGCTGCCTTGACTTGATACTGAGATGCTGGCCATCCCAGCACGTCTCACCAGCAGAGGGAAGTGGAACTGTGTCAGATTGACCTTGTGTGCCACGCTAAGAGCCTCACCAGTACTTCCCCAAGCCCACGTTGCTCCTTACCCTTAGTTTACATTGTGCATCAGCAGCTGTGGCTCAGCTCTCAGGGTGACACTGGGCTCCTGTTTTCATCACAGCAACAAAGATTTGCTCCCCCTGAGAGAACTGCTGCCCTTACGGCAGGGAGAAAATTAACCTTGTCCTCCCCTGCCTCTGACCAACAAAAACACAAGGGCAATCTGAGACCTTCGCCTCTCTTGGTGGTTATCAAGTGAGTTACCCGCAGTGTGCAGTAAGTGAGAACATAGCAATAACTTCATTTCTGGTTGATACTGACTACTCTTTATTTATTTGCATTCTTACTGCTAATGAAGCATCCTCACAGGTGCAGGATGAGGGAACTCGTGGTGCTCTGGGCCAGGCTTGCTTCTCACCTCGGGAAGGAGAGGAGGAAAACACAACTTGCTCTTCAGGATGCAAATTCTTGTCACTGTCCTTCCTCAGTTGCACAATAAACTCATGTAGGGGTCTGGGATGAAGAGCTGTTCTTAAAATAAATGTGACCAACAGCCAAGCATTTGTGTTAAACTGCTGTTAGTGGTGTTTTAAGCACGTTTCTTCTTTGACTTGGTTTCTGCTCGCTCCCCTGAGCTCGGGGCCATCAGGGACTTCTGGAACCCTTTCAACGTTGGCTTGCAGGGTGCATCTTGAAATTCTTGAAATGGAACGGTCCCCATTCTTCCTAACAGAATCAAGATGTTGAGATTCACTTTTTTTTAATTTGAAATAGGTTTCAGAAAGAGCCTTACTTCTGGTTGAGTGAGGAGAAAGCTGGCAGGGAGACGTGAGCATGAGGGAGTTCTTGAGCCGGGCAAAGCCTGTGTGGATCAAGGGGCAGATGCTGCTGTGCACTCTCTACTCTGCTTACCTGGGAGCCAGGTTGGTGGAGTGACCTCCAACATCCCTTTCTCACCCTCCTCCCAAGTCTCTGGTTCTTGCTGAACGACTCCCGGGGAGCTTCAAATCCTGCAAAAAACCACCTGTCCAGCAAATCTGTGAGTGCTCCCATCTTGCAAGCAAAATAGGTAAAAGCCTTTACATGTCAATGACTTGAAGGATTTCATTGCTTTTTTCCAGCCTCGCTGGCAGTGGAAGATAAGATCTTGCTGTGATCAGGAGAAATATGACTGAGGAAGCTGGTACAAATCCTTTCATGGGCAAAAATATTGTAAGAGATGGGATCCCTGAAACGTTGTGTCTCCTGGAGCAATGGGAGTGGAGCCTGCCTCCCCAGCCAGGAGCTGAGTTTTTCAATGGGAAAAGTCCCAGATAAAGGCAGACCTCAAAGTGAGCTCTGCTTTCCTTTCAGGGGCAAGTAAGATAAGAGAGGGAGGAGGTGGCTGAGGCTTTTGTTTCACCATGATTCCCAAGACTGGAATTTAAACAATCTGGAAACACTTTCAGATACCGCAGAGTTCAGTTAATGATGGTTAAGACTGTATAATCTCTTCAGGCAGCATTGCTTGTCTTTGCTGTCTGAGAGGCCCTCAAAAGGCAGACTTTGGCAGTGGATATCTGCTGGGTGGGACTACACTGCCATCAAGCTGGTTCTGAGGAGTATTTATCCTTTTAGTCCCCTTCCCTTGAAAACATGAAGGTTTTTGAGAAGAAGGTGGATGCTGCACTGAGGGCCATGGGCAGTGGGCATGGTGGGGATGGTCCTTGGTGCTTGGATGGTCTCAGTGATCTATGATTCTGTGCAGGTGGGTGCGATGCTTTGCCCACAGATTAAAAACCCCATCGATCTGATGGACAGAAGACAGCTGCCAAGCTGTATGAAGCGAGACTTGGGAATCCACTGCCTGTCTTCAATTATTCCAGATATGGACTTGGAGCTGCAGCAAGCATATGGATCTGCAGGGAGAGGCCCTGGTGTGGGTGCATGGATGCCTCTCTTCTGCCTGGTTTGCTGTCGCTGCGTGGTTTTCAGTCTCCTCAGCCATGCCTGAGGATTTTTGCTGGCTTCTCTGCTCTGCTGCCTCCCTCCAGTGGCTGTGCTCTGGCTCTCCTGCTCCAGGTCCTGGTGCACAGCAAAGCGCAGCGCTGTCAGCTGCTCCTGCCAGCATCACTAGGGCTGTTGGTGAGCACTGCTGTCCTGGGGACACGGAAATGGCTTTGCTGTAGCTGCCCTTTGTGCAGAACCTGAGGGCATCTGAGTGTTCTGTGCCCCATTTCCAGGGCATCGGGTGCACGGGTTTTTAAGAAGCACTTCCTTCACAGAGTGCAGTCAGGCATTGGAACGTGCTGCTCATGGCAGCGGTGAAGTTCCAGTGGAGGTATTTAAGGTACGGGTTGACAATGCACTGAGGGATGTGGTGCAGTGTTGGGACTCAGTGAGTCAGGCTGATGGCTGGAGCCATCGATCCTGAAAGTCTTTTCCAGTCCAAATGAGGTTGATTCTATGAATCAATGGCTTTCTTGGCCGGAGCCATTTTCCTCCCCCAGCCTCTTCCTCTTCTGACCCTTTTACTGCCTCCTCTTATCATTTCACCACTCTGCTTCCCTCCATCTCTCTTTCTGTTCTTCTTCCCCAAATTCTCTTCTGTTTTCTCTCCTCTTTGCATACCAACCACACATACCAGGAGCATTCCTCCTGCTTTTTGGTTTGCTTTGCTTTTCATTTTTTCCCCTTGCTCTGGCTGGCTTTCCCTACTGTGATCCATTCCCTGCTCCACTCCATATGTGTTCCCATTGCCATTCCCACTCTTAGCCACAGAGAGCCCTTTCTCAGCACGCAGGGAGCAGGGCATTGTGTTTATTATCACTCCACGTTCATCTAGGCACTCGTGCATGTGATGCATCCCGTGCGATGGCATCTTTCTGAGAACTGTAATTCTGAGGCTTGTTTCCGGATTTTAAAATACTCAATCTGCAAAGGCAGTTCCCCGTGTTTCCTGCTTGCTTTTGCCAAAGCCCTTGAGATTTCAAGAGATTATCTCAGCCAGTTCTTCATGTTTTCATGGTAAGTAACTCCATGTCTTGCATGCTTCTTTATTGGGGTCTTCCTTGGCTCTGGCTTGCTCCTGTGTGCCCCTTCTCTGTTGGATCCCTCCAAGCTCAGGTGTGAGATGGAGGCAGCATTCTGAATGCCTCCACTTCCTCCAGGTCACATCTTTGTGGTTCTTCCTCCTGGTTAAGCAAGAGGCTAAGCCTTCTCTTTGCCTTCCTCTTGTTTCAGATGCAGTTACACAAGCAGAGAACCTTTTGCAGTCTTCCTCGGTTTTAACTCATTTTGTGCCTTTACAATTTAGCATCCCGGTCACTTTTTAAGTATCACCTCCTGAGAGCACAGGAACAGGAGGTCAAGAAGGTGAGCAGACGGCCAGCATTCATCCCAGGGTACTAAGATGTCACTGCAGGACCTCTCTCAGTTATTTTGCAATGAGAAGGGTAAGCTGATGGGTCAGATCTGAAGGGTTATCGCACATGGGGTTCCAGCAGGCTGGTGGCCAGTCACTGGGGGGGTTCCTCAGGGCTCCATTTTAGGGTCAGCTCTCTGGCACTGAGGCAGCCTGTTGGCAATGCTCGTAAGGCAGGGTTCTTGGTAGTCGGAGCTCACTGTTTGCCCACGGCCACCTTGGTGCCCATCAGGACAGTTTGTTGTTCACATCAGCTTGATGGACACGGTGTCGGGACAATATTCAGAGACTTACAGAAGAAAGATGAGAAGGGACAGGTCGTTCTGGCAAGACTACCTGATGTAAGATGCTGATGTGAAACTAAACGGGAGAAAATGGCACTTGGGAGGAGGGTAGGAGGGAGCACAGCGAGCGCTGCTCTCCCAGGGCCACGTCTGCTGGCAAAAAGTTAACACAGCCCATGGTCAGCTGGAGAATCACTTCCTCTGCTGGATCTGTTCCTTGCTCGGAAAGGGCTCCGGGGTGAGGGGAATGGGGAAGTCCTTCCTCCTGTGCCCATGGGGTGTGCATTTCACCCCTCTGTGCCGGGGACTGGGAGCGGTGGGGTGGAACCAGCAGCACACGTGGCAGGCTGTGGTGTGTCTGTGTCAGAGCCCAGGGCACGTGCCTGAGACAAGACCATAGATGGAATCAAGCAGCAGAGCGAGGGGATAAAGCTGGGCAGAAGCTCGCTTTGGGATCCCTAGCTGAGAGTGAACCTCGGCGTGAAAAAGGAACTGCCTGCGCTGGTGCTGGGAGGATGCAGCCTCCACCTCTCCACCGCACGCGATTTGGATGCTGGAGGTCTTCTGGAGCAGTGGCCAAAGAAGCAGCCATGAGCATCCTGGTGGTGAAGGGCGTCCTGCCCCTGCTGCTTCTTGCCTGGCCGCCCGCTGGTGAGTGCAGGTGCTGTGCCCTCATCCTGGGAGGGGGGAAGTGGAGCACTGCTGCTGCCGGGGGGGCCTGCGGGCAGGCAGCTGGGTGCATCTGTTCTCAGCTCTGTTGGGAGTGTGAGAGGATCTCAGGGCTGCAGCACCTGCCCCTCCAAGGCTGCCTGCGGGGAAGTTGCTGTGGCTTTGAGCTTTTCTATCTGTGCAGCAATAATGCACCTGTAGAAGGTTTGGGACAGAGCTGCTTTTCTGCCCACCCTGTGCTCCTCCAGAAGCTTTTAACTCCCTTTAGGCGCCAGTGCCTTCACCACCTCCTGTGCCCAGCCACAGGAACACCAGATGGTTGGGGCAGAAGTAAGCCTGCTGCCTGGGGCTGGCATCCTCAGGGCCTCACAAGAAGGATGTGGGTATTTCACAGCACGAACCCAACTTCCCCGCTTCTTTTTTCTGCAGGACAAACGACTTCCGTGTCCTTAGGGTCAGATCTCACTTTTCACTGTCTGCCAAACAGCCCTGACAGGGAGGTGGTGTGGTGTGACACCTTAAGCAAGAAGAAGAAGGCAGAGAAAGACACAGGGTCTGCTCTACACAAGGAAAATGTTTCTTCCAACTTCACCTTTACAAGCGTAAATGAAAAGCATGCTGGAAATTACACGTGCAAGATGAAGACCTCATGCACCATTCCCGAAAACAAGAACCGCCCATGCAAGAACCACAAGGCCAAAGATGCTTGTGGCAAGAGTGAGCCAGGGATGGGGAGCGGGCTGTGTGCGGTGGGTTGGGATGTGACTGCAGCTCAGAGGCTCGGGAGCAGCAGCTGCTGGAGGAGGGCACAGTTATTACGTGCATGTTTTGCAAGCAGCACGTGCTGGTGGGATGTATCTGCTGCAAGGTACAGCCACTCGCTGTTTTATTTCTTGCAGGGAACTTGCTGTGCAGGTTCATGCTCTGGGCAGAGAATAAGACCATGCACGTGCAGTGGTGGACATGCCCAGAGACTCCTGATAACTGCTTGGAGCACAGCAAGGCACAGCACAGTGACAGCCATGGCAGCATGGACGCAGCCAGCGCAGAGCCCGTTGTGTGCACCGTATCCAGCAGAAGCTTCACAGGCACTGAAAATGCCACCCAAGGGATGGCTCCCAGTAAGTGACACTGCTTTCCCCAGTGGGTGCCACTGACTCTGCCTGGGTGCTCACACGTGTCCCTGCTTCCAGGCTCTGACCCCAAGACTTCTCCGACCCGTGAGCCTCAGATTCAGAAAGGTGAGCAACCACGGCTCCAGCACGGAGCTGGAGTCCAAATCTGGAGCCTGCTGTGGGGACAGCAGCTCACGCGCGTTCCTGTGCTCCTCAGGTCTCATAGCAATCATCTACCTGTACGCCATCCCCGGGTTAGTGGTTGTGACTTTTTTCCTCCTGCTTTGTATTTTGGTGTGCCTGTGCAGAAGAAAGCAAAAGGATGCTAAAGGTAAGGCTGAGCCTGGGCTGTGCTGCTGTGGGAGTTGGGGAGCATCTTCTCCATGGGCTCCTTGGGTATAAGAAGCTGTGGGAAACCCCGACCATGCAGGTGCATTAAAAATAACAGCACTCAATGTTGGGTTGGTTTTTTTTTTTTGGTTTTTTTTTTAGGAACTCCTGAAAGCAAGCATGCAGCAGAGATGAATCAGCTCAGCACGGTAAGGCAGTAAGAGCTTTTCATGTGCCATGTCCTCCCCTCCAACAAAAAGCACTGGCAAGTGAATGCCAACTGAAAGGGCTTTGGGGCTTCAGAAACCTCTATGACAAGCCAGGCTCTTCTGGACAGTGGGAAATAACTTATGCCAGTCCCTGGGCACTGCAGAATAGAGAGCCAAAGGCTCTACTTACTGCTGTCTTCCTCTACAGCCTCCCCCAGCACCTCAGACTGAGGACCTGACGTATGCAAAGCTGATCTTTGAAAGGACGGGGGCAATACCTGCAGCCTCAGAAGTGGTGTACGCAGAAATAAAACCCCTGCAAAAGGAGTAGAGAGCTGAGGATGGCCACGCTGCTCTGCAAAGGGAAGGTCTGTCAGCAGGAAGAGTGAGAAAGGAGAGACAAGCAGCTGCTGATATGGCTGCCATAGCTTGAAAACCTGGCATTAGCTCTTATCAGGTGCACTGGGTGATGGATATGAGCAGTGTTCTTCATTTCCTCATTGTGTCTACATCCAGCATCCGCTGCAATGGATTTGGCTCTGCTCTGATTCACACACCTGAAAAATGACAAGCAAAGATACAAAGGCATCATTTGCTGTGGAGAGATCCAGGATGGATACAGCCAAAGCCCACCAGTGACCAGCTGCCAGCCTGATGGAACCCCATTCAGTCTCTGAGCCTGGCAAGCCAGCCAGTTGCTCACCTATAATGTTGTATTTCTTGCTAGCTGTATGCTGGACGTTTTGTCTGGAAGGAAGCAGTGTCAAAAGCTTTACTGAAACCCAAAAAGTGAACGTTGACTGGCTTCACTTGGTCAACCAGATAGGTGGCCTTGTTGTATAAGGAAATCAAGTTAATCCAACAGGACCTAGGTAATATATATATGTGTGTGTGTGTGTCTCTCTCTCTCTCTATATATATATAAAATATCTTTTCTCTCTTCCTTTTTTCTTAGTGAACAGTTTGTATCTTAATTCACAATCTCTACTTTGTTTGCTGTGTTTTTTTTCACCCCTGGGTGCTGGATGAAGGTTGTCACTTTGCTGTGCTGTGTGGCCTTGGCTTACAACACGATGAAATTGCTGGCTGGGATAGCAATCAGGTGTTTGTGCTCTGCGCTGCAGCCATCCTTGTGCTTTGGGAGCCATATTGTGGAGTAAGCAAATGCTTTGTTTATCTCCTTGGGAGGCAATGGGAGATGCTTTCTGTTGTTTCCTCAGCCTCTCTTTCACTTTTCCTTCTTCTCCAAACCAGTTACAATAGCTCTCGAACGTTGATTATCCTTGGAAGATCTGCTATGTTACCCAGGGAAGGGGACCACCATGGAGAAAGGTATCCAGCACTGAGGGAATTGGTGCTGGAGGTGGTGTTATCCCAAATCCAGATGGGATGAGGTTCCCTGTGAGCTGTGTGACAGAGAGCTGCACAGGCTGCACCAGCATTGGCTGGCAATTGGTGCTGGTGTGTGTCTGCCCCGGCAGCAGGGCTAGGAGGAGGTTCCTTCTGAGCACTGGGAAATGCTTCCCAGCTGTGTGAGGGAAGGGCAGCAGATCTGCCTCCTAGGAGAAGTGCTACAGCTTGTGTTGGAGTGACACAAAGGGGAGCGTATAAACAGGAGGGGGCTGTTTAGGAGGGTGGATGGTGATAGGACAAGGGGGAATGGTTTTGAAGTGAGTCAGGGCAGGTTTAGGTTGGATAGTAGGAGGAAGTTTTTCACCCGGAGGGTGGTGAGGCACTGGAACAGGCTGCCCAAGGAGGCTGTGGATGCCCCATCCCTGCAGGCATTCGAGGCCAGGCTGGATGTGGCTCTGGGCAGCCTGGGCTGCTGGGGTTGGAACCAGATGATCACTGTGGTCCTTTTCAACCCAGGCCGTTCTATGATTCTATGAAAATGGGGCAAGGAGGGAAAATGAAGCGCCGGCGGGTCCCCTCCAGGCCACCACGGAGAGCAGAGCTGGCAGCCACACGTGGCCCTTAAGAACAACAGGAGCTGCCCTCACTTACAGCTGCCCGTCAGTCCTCCGCGCTGCCCTCCGATTGGCTGCCGGCGCCGCCCGTCTGCAGAAGGCCCGCCTCTCTTCCTTGATCCGCCTCGTGATTGGCCACACTTCCCCCAGATTCGGAAGCCGCCTAGTGCGCCGCCATTTTCAGTGGCCGCCCCTCGCCCCTTGGGCGGCTTCGGGCACGCGCGGTCCATACAGCGGCGCGGCCTTCTGCATCCGCGCCTGCGCGGGCCCGGCCGCGCCGGGAGCGAGCGGCCGCCGCCGCGGGAGCGCGCCCGGCCCGGAGATGCGCGGGGAGGAGGCGGAGCGGGCGGGGTCCTCCGCGCCCCCGCGGCGGGTAAGGGCAGCTGGGGGGGGGGGGTCGGTGGGGAGCTGTCGTTGCTGGCGGCGCGGTGCCTCCGAAGGTCCTTCCGGTGGGCGCCGAGGAGAAAGGCGTCAATAGAAACCAGCGAGCGCCGCGCGGAACGAACGCGTGTCGGTGCGAGCTGTCGCGGCGCTGACCGCCTCGCTTTGCGTCCCGTAGGGGCCGAGGATGAAGCGGAACGCGGAGCAGCGCGGCGTTCCCTCGCAGGCCCGCGCGGAGCCCCGTCCCTGAGCCCCGCAGGATGAAGCTGCCCGGCGTGGGTGTGTTCGGGGCCGGCAGCACCGCCCGCCTCCTCGTCCCCCTGCTGCGAGCCGAAGGCTTCTCCGTCGAGGCTGTGTGGGGAACGACGGAAGAAGAAGCCAGGCAGCTGGCGCAGGAAATGAGCGTCTCCTTCTACACCAGCCGCACCGACGACGTCCTGCTGCACCAGGACGTGGACCTGGTTTGCATCAGCATCCCCCCGCCGCTCACCCGGCAGATTGCTGTCAAGGCTTTAGGTACCTTTTCGCCTTTAGGCTTGGACCAAAAAATCTGTTGGTTTTATTTTTTGTAATTAAGATAATTTTACGTTGAGTGATTTCTCGAAGCCTGCAGTGTGCAGAAAGGCATTAAGTTTGGGGGTTTTGATGCTGTTGGATTTGCTTCTTTTCAGCGTTGCTCTTTGAGTCAGACCATAGAGTGTCACACCACAGAACGGCCTGGGTTGCAAAGCACCACAGTGCTCATCCAGTTCCAACCCCCTGCTGTGTGCAGGTCACCAACCAGCAGCCCAGGCTGCTCAGAGCCACATCCAGCCTGGCCTCGAATGCCTGCAGGGATGGGGCATCCACAGCCTCCTTGGGCAACCTGTGCCAGTGCCTCACCGCCCTCTGGGTGAAAAACTTCCTCCTAACATCCAACCTAAAGCTGCCCCATCTCAGTTTAAAACCATTCCCCCTTCTCCTCTCACTACCCACCCAATCTGTGAATGAAGTAGGAAAGGGTGATTTGCTCTTCACTTCGCACATCTTGAGCGAGTTTTGTTTAGCTTGCTGTGATTCAGTGCACTGGGGGAACACAGAATGAGGATGGGCAGATGGCAAGTGTGTTTTCTCTGAGTGTTCAGATCAACACAGTGATGTTTGTCATCGGGAAAGTCTTGGCTGTGAATGATTGATGATAATAGGTTGCTGTTTTAGTGGCTTCCAGGCTGTGCTGTTTGCTTAAGTTAATTACTGACAGACATTTGTACACAAGCCTGGGTACAGCCCTGGCGTGGTAGGGGTAAAGGAGTAAGCCTGAACTGAGTTGGTGAACCAGATCAAAGCCCAGAACGTAATTCAAATGAAGATGAGAGTAATCCTATGGTTTATCTCCATAACAGGCAAAGCAAGAAGCTCTTCTAAAATTTGTGCTGCTTTTGATCTCAGAGGAACTAAAATGCCAGCTTTGTGGTGGATGGCCCCCAGCTGAAATGCACGCACCTCAGTGTGAGGTGAGCCGGGGGCTGAGTTCAGGCTGAGGGGATGTGGTGTGTGATGTGTGCTGCAAGGCTTAGCAGGCAGAGCATCAGAAGCCATCTCTCCAGGGTGGGTAATGCTTCACATAGGGAGCCCAACCTGCAGCCCAGCCTCGTGGTGCCTCCTGGATTGGCTGCAGAGGAACTTTCCACTGATCTCTCTTGATTTACATTGCTTACTTTCCAGAGGAGATTATTTGGCTCTCTGGTTGCGTGGAGTCCTAGCAGATTATAGCATGGATATGTTAATTGTGGAGGAAGGAGTCAGAAAGGGCTCTTATCATTGCTCTGTCCTGGGACAAACACACGTTTCCTGTTCTTGAAACAGGGTAAACAAGCGTGCTGTGCTCTTTGCATGTTGTGCTTCCCATCCCTGTGATCCGTAGCACAGAAGCCTTTCCAAACCACATGCAAACAAGACGTGACACGAAGGAATGCGTTTTGGAATGAGCTTCCATTTGTTGAGAGGCTGCTAACCAACAGCTGCTTGTTTGTGAAGGCTCCTTGGATGCTCCCAGTGTCGCACAGTGGACGCAGCAATGCTCTGCTGCTTCAGCAGTGGTTTAGTTGGGCATTGGGTGCAGCCTTGGGTGCATTACTAAGGGGAATCAAGAGCTGGGGCTTCCATCCCATGGCATGGATGTATTTACAGAAGGCAGATGGCTTTAGTGGTTGGAGTCAGCGTTACAGCTCGTGCTAAGAGAGACAAAGCTGAGGAGTGGGTTTCATTAGACCAACCTGACTCTGGATAAGGACAAACATAAGAAAGGTCTTGGGGAGTAAGACTGACTCTCTGGTGTCCTAGCAGGGTTTCTGTGGTCTGCACTGAGAAGGTTGCTCTGAGCTGTGTGTGGAGAAGATGCTGAGGGCTGTGGTAGGATGGCTGCCATGACAGCTGCATGGGGCACCTTGCGTGTGCCTCCGTCTCCCCATCCCTTCCCAGTGTGCCTTTTGGATGATACCAGGTGTTCTTTTTCTCCTAAAACCAAAACACAGCATCATACCAGACACTTTAAGGAAAAATCACAGCATGGCTTAGGCTGGAGGGGACTGTGAAGGCCAGCCAGCCTGTGGCAGAGTTGCCAGCTACCAGCTCAGGCTGCCCAGAGCGCTGTCCTACCTGGCCTTGAATGTCTCCAGGGATGGGATCCCACAGCTCACTGGGCAGCCTGTTCCAGTGCCTCACCACCTCCTGAGTTAAAACTTCTTTCCTGACATCTAACCTTAAACTCCCTTCTGTTACAGTTTTGTATTCTGTGCACAGGCCACCAAGTACCTTCAGTTTCTATCAATCTGTGAATAAATTCATAGCGATGGTAAAATACAGAATGAAGCCTCCGCTCGTTTCGAGTGCATTTATCTCCGTGATGATATTTTTTTTTCCTCTTGCTGCACAGCCATTCCAATGGTTTTATAGCTGCAGCACTTCAGTGGCATAAAGACCTGTCGGAGTTCATCTGCCGTGATGTAAAAATCCTCTCTTTATTTGGAGCTCTGTGGGTGTTTGTCAGCTCTGAGCATTTTGGAAGCGCTTGGAGTCTTGCCGCACTTAGCGTGCCTATTTTAGTTCCCAGATCTTTGCTTCTGAAAGCCTAAAAACTGCAGCTTCCTGGCAGCCTTGGGGGCTCGTCAGCATTTCTTGCTGTTTTTTTGGTGTTTGTGTTGCAGGAATAGGGAAGAACGTGATCTGTGAGAAAGCTGCTACCTCCGTGGACGCCTTCAGGATGGTCACAGCCGCCAGGTATTACCCCAAGCTGATGAGCATCGTGGGCAACGTCCTCCGTTTCTTGCCTGCCTTTGTGAAGATGAAGCAGCTGATAGAAGAGCGCTACGTGGGCAACGTGCTGATCTGCGACGTGCGGGTGTACGGGGGCAGCCTGCTGAGCCACAAGTACAGCTGGATCTGCGACGAGCTGATGGGGGGGGGCGGCCTGCACACCATGGGCACGTACATCATCGACCTGCTGAGCCACCTCGTCGGCAGGAGGGCGCAGAAGGTCCACGGCCTGCTCAAGACTTTTGTGAAGCAGAACACGGCCATCAGCGGGATCCGCCACGTCACCGGCGATGACTTCTGCTTCTTCCAGATGCTGATGAGCGAGGGCGTCTGTTGCACCGTGACTCTCAATTTCAACATGCCCGGATCGTTCGTTCACGAGGTGATGGTGGTGGGCTCCAGCGGGCGCCTCGTAGCGCGCGGCACGGACTTGTATGGGCAGAAGAACACGGCGCTGCAAGAAGAACTGCTGTTCACTGACTCTCTGACTGTCAACAAAGGCCTTTTGGACAAGGGCTTGAAAGACATCCCGCTGCTCTACCTGAAGGGAACGGTGTACATGGTGCAAGCGCTGCGGCGGTCTTTCCAAGAGCAGGAAGATCGCCGGACGTGGGATCACCAGCCCGTCTCCATGGCAGCATCCTTTGAAGATGGCTTGTACATGCAGAGCGTGGTGGAGGCCATTAAGAAATCCAGCAGGTCGGGGGAGTGGGAGGCTGTGGAGGTCATGACGGAGGAACCAGACGCCAACCAAAACCTGTGTGAGGCGCTGCAAAGGAACAACGTGTGAGCGTTGCTGCTTTGGGAAGATAGGACGGTGAATGCTTCCAGCTGCAGCTGTACAAATCCTCTCTGGTTTTTAAGATTCCTATTTAATAATTTGAGTTTCTTGGTTTTTTAAGTGTGTAAAATAATGTCACGTTCTGATGGAAACAGTTCCGGTTTAAGACGTTCTGTTTTTGCAAGTGTTTAATTCTTGTCTTGGAGACAAGAATTGACTTGAATTGCCCTTTGCACTCGCAGTAGTGAAGTGAAGCGTGGGATCTGTGCCACTGCATGGCTGGAGAGGGGACATGGCCCCTCTTGTTTTACCAATCCTAAAGTGAGAGTGAGAAGAGCAGGCTCTGAGAGCATCTGTTGCTCAGATGCCTTCGCTTTCTCTCCTGCAATCGGATTTAGTTTTACTGCCCAGTAACACTTTATTAAAGAGTTTAGGGATGTAACACATCTCTGAACTGCCATAGGACAAAGACCAGAAGGAACACAGTAAAGTTTGTAGATTAAGAATTGGCCGTTGGCTTTCTGCATACCGAAAATGTCTTTCAAATTAATTGAAAGCAGAGTGTTGTTTAAAGGATGCTGTGAGATCCCAGCTGATGGTGCTGGGGAAGGCTGTGGCGCTTTGTGCTTTCCTCCCGTATCTGCAGACATTATTCCTCAGACTCGTGACACCGACTGCATCCAGCAGCCTTTGTGCATGAGCTCCACGTCCACCGGTTGTGTTTACAGCCTGGCAGCAGCAGAGCTGTGACTGCAGGGCCACCTCCTCACTTCTGTTGCTTCCTGAACTCCTCCCAGGCTCGCAGATGAGGCTCAGGATGTCGTTGCCAATGAAGCTGTAAAACCTTAACCTTCCACGTATCTGATGGTGGAGGTAAGGAGGTCTTGCCTACCTCTTGCAGCTCTCCTATGTGCTGGCTGGGAAGCTGTCACACTACACATGCTGATAGCTGAGGGGTCTGCCCTGAACCTCAAACGCTGGATATCAGCCCTCTGGTCCTGCCTGCCCTCCTGCAGCTCGTGGCTGTTGGCAGCTGGTGGTTGGCAGTGTGTTCATTTGGAGAAGAGTTTCTCTCTGAGGCAGGTATGTGACAGGGACAGTACAATTGTACGACATGTACTTGGTGTACTTGAAAGCTTTTTTTAATGTATTTCCCACTCAAATGGTAACCCTGTGTATTTATGTACGTTAACACGCAAACCACTGTTTCATAAGCTGGTCCTTCCTGACAAGTGTCTGACTTGTTTTCTACAGAAATAAACAGAAAAATAGATTGTTTGTTCAGGGCGTTCTTCACGTAGCTGGGTGCTTGCGTGTGATTTGGCTGAGCTGAAGCCTCCATGACAGAGCTTCCAGCTGGGGCTGATCACTTGGTGTGACAAAGTAGGAGATGGATCTGCTGACAGGACTCGCTTTCCCCGTTGGTGAGAAAAGGATGGCAGCTCCGTTTGCTTGGGCAGCACAGAGCTATGCCCACCTCTTTGCTTTTTCTCTCATTCTAAAGCTGTTCTGGAGTCACTGGCTCTAGAGACACCCTGTCTATCGTGGGCCTCCCACACTGACTGTTGTGATGAATGAGATCTTTTTCTGCCTGCCTGGTTGTAGAAATAGCTGGAAGGTGCAAGCTGAGGAGCAAAATCTTCCTGGGTTTGCTGGGTTCTTTGCTCAGTTTCTAAATGAGACATTTACCTTCAGGTATTTATTTCCTTTCAGAATAGTTTCGAACTGACAGAAAGAAATGTACTGACGTGCTTTTCTAAAGGGTGGGAACTCAGCTGGTCCTTGGCTCTGAGCACTCATCAGCTGTGGGCTGAAGGAAGAAAGCAGATGGGTGTAAATTACACACTGTTCCCAGCAGGTGCACCGGTGGAAGTTCTGCATCTTCCTGCAATGCTTTCCAGCTCTGAGCATCTCCTGTCTGTTTTGTCTATGTGCTATGTAAAGCAGGTGAAAAAATGTCTCCTGAGCTCACCTGGAAGAGTGGCTGCCTTCATTCACTCTGACTCAATCTGACTTCGTTCCTGCCTGGTTCTGGATGTTTTGAAGCTGTTCTCCCTGAACTGGGAAACCTCCTTTGTGCCACCATCACAGACCTGCAGTGGGCAGGCTGGGCCTCTGGGAAAACCCAGAGTGACAGAAGGGCAAAGCCTCCATCTCTGGGGCGCTGAACTACGGAGTCCTGCACATCTCCGGTCCCTCCCTGTTGCCATGACCTGCTGGCAAGCTATTGCCCCCCTGAGGTGGCCTGGTTGGCACAGCGTGCCCTGGGCCTGGCCCCGCATCTTCTCAGAGGGGCTCCCAACCATCCAGCCTGCTCACTGAACCTTGGTGGTGCTCTCTCTGCAGCTCTGGAGCAGCTGCCCTACCTGCTGGTGCTGAGCCTCCTCTTCTGCTGGGCACATCAGCTCCGTGCTGAGGTTGATGTACTGATACAAGGGGCGCAGCCGCAGCAGCCGCCCTGGAGGGGAATCCCAGAGTGGCTTAGTTTGGAAGGGACCTTAAAGACCATTGAGATCCAACCTCCTGCCCTGAGAAAAGGGCAGAAACTGACAAACCCCGTGTCCCACCAGTAGTCCTGAGAGGAGAGGGAAGGGCATTACCCCAACCAGCACCGGAGCCAGGAACTGCAGTAGGTGCCCCTTAGCTGGGGATCTGCAGCCTCAGCCCGGTGACACGAGAGCAGCTGAGGGAGGACAGGTCTGCCCAAGCATCACAGTGCCCGGCTGAGCATCCAGCCGTGCGCAGCCCCCACCATCAGCCCAGCCGCGGGCACACTGCCATCTCTGGGAGCAGCACGAGGGCCGTTCCCCTATGGATGCTCACCCAGCGCATCCCGAGGCGGGACCTTTTTGCGCGGCTGCGAGTCGCCTGTGCTTTTCCTCTTCTTGCTCTTTCCCTGCAGCTCGGCAGCGGGGCCGGCATCGCCCTCGGCGGCGGGCTGCTGCAAATCGGGCTGCCGCAACGCGCGCAGGTGGGTCCTGCGGGACGGGAACGGGTTGGGGCAGGGCCACGCGGCTGAACCGACGCACGGCGATCCCTGCGGCACCGAGCCGGCTCCCGAAGGAGACGCGCCGGCTTACTTTGCGTCCTGCGCGGGGACGGACATGGAGCAGCACCGGGCTTCAGCAGCGGTTGGGAGGAGGCTGCGGGAGGGCCGTTACCGGGGGAACGCATCAACAGCGCGGCTTTAAGTGCGGCCGTCCCACAGCGAGACGGAGAGCAGAGCGGGGCCGCGCCGAGCCCGGCCGCCCATCATCTGCCCACACCTCTCCCCGGGCGGGGCTCGGCCCGGCCCTCCTCCCTCCCGGCGGAAGCGGCCGTTGCCCGGAGCGCGGCGGCTCCGCGGGTGCGTGCGGTGGGGCCGGAACCCGGCAGGCCGTGCCCCTTCTTCCCCATCCCAGCCCGTCCTCTCGCGCCCCATCCCCCCGCCGTGCTTCTGACCCGATGTTTCCGCCCGCGACGGGAGCGAGCGAGCGAGCGAACGGCCCGATTGCCACGAGCCCTTTGCTCGGCCCCGGGTGACTCGCTCTGCTTATCGCAGCTTAGCCAGAGATGTATTTTTTTTTTTTTCCTATGCTTTTTACAGAATCGGGCTCGTAGCAGCACAAAGCCGAACAACAAGGCTCCAGCTCCGCATGAGGCTGCAGCTCCCCGGCCGGGCGCGCGGCTCCGGTGGGCGGCACCGAGCTCTGCTGGAAGAGGTACGGACGGGAGGTGTGTCCTGCAGCTCCGAGCATTCCTGCTTCCCTGCCCCCCTCTGCAGCCCGGCCCTGCGCTGAGCAGGAGCTGCACACGTACATCTGTTTGCTTGAGCTGCGAGGCCGTGGCCTCTTGCTGCTGGCGACAGATGCTTTTGATGCTTAGGTTTCTAACGCAGTGCTGGAGATGCTTTCCTAGGTGCATATTAAGTGCCAGCTGGAAGGGCTGGCCCTGCTCCTCCTGTAGGCACATTCTCCTGTTGCTCCCCTTGTGCTTGCCCAGTGCCTTTCTGGTCTCTGCACGGAGTTCCATCTGGGTGGGATGCATTCTGCTCATCCCTGGAGCCCCCAGGTTCTCAAAGAGCCCCATCCTCCAGCCCTGCTGTCCCACTGTGCAGGAGCAGAGCAGCTGCCTGGAAAACCTGCTTGTGGGAGCTGAGGGTTTGGCTGCTTCATCCTGAGGCCAGATGACGATGATGATGATGATGATGATGATGCAGGTGCTGGGACTGCATCCTGCATGTTTTGCTGTGAGCACCCAGATAGGCCGAGTGCTGTTGTAACAAGGCTGTGTAATCTTGCGAGATCCAAACCCAGAGGCAATGTGACTTGCAAATCAGGGTGTGGGTGTCATCTGCAAATCCCCTGCAGCAGGGCAGGGTGCTGCTGGGACGTGAGATGGGCCCTGTGTTCAGGTACAGAAGGAGCCTTCCATCCCCCAGCTCCCATCAGCTTGCCTTTCCTCCTTCAGTCCCCCACGCTAATTGCCTGCTCTTTTACAGGTCCTCCTTTCACTCTGTCATTTTGCACCTAAATTACTGGCTTTGGAGGAGAGTTCAGATCGAGATCAGATGTGAGTTTCAAGGCCAGTAACTATCCTGGAGTAATCTCTTGGTGATGCTTTTTTTTTTTTTTAGGATAAGAGGGCCCATGCTGGCTTAGCTCTATCCATTTTAAAGGAGATTAAATAATAAGAGAACAGTGCTCTTTTACTGCAGCCTGAGAATCTGAGTCTGAAGCTTTTCAGAAATAGCTTTTGCAGGGTGGCTGGGTACAAACAAGCCTCTGGACATGCCTGCCGGTGTGCAGTGCTCAGCACGGCTTACATTGCCTCTGCCGTTGTGTCTGGGAGATGAATAATAGCTTTTTGCTAATGGGTCTCATGTCAACAAGGGTAATTTAACAGAGAAGACAGCAGTGCATTAGTTGCTATGAGTCAGGCTCACTCAGCCTTGTGCTGATTGTTTATTGGTTTATAAATTAAATGGAAGATGCTGTGTCCCGTCAGTGCTGGCATTCTGAGGGTCCTAAAAGGGGCTCTTCCCGTAGGGCTGTCTCTGAAGTGTTGGAATTGCAGACCCAGGAGTCGGATTTTCTGTGCTGAAGGTGCAGGTATCACAAAATGCAGACGCTTCAGGATCAGTGCTGGTTAGTCCTGCAGTAGGGACGGTGCTGCTGGCTCCTTTGCCTCACCCATGTGAAAGCACAGCATGGTTGGGTTGGAAAGGACCTCACCGCCCCCAAGCCCTGCTGTAGGCTGGCTGCTCCCCAGCTCAGGCTGCCCAGTGCCCATCCATGGCCTGGGGCACCTCCAGGGATGGGCACCACAGCTCTTGGGCAGCCATGGGGTCCATTGGGGTTGTTTCCTACTTGCAGGTTGTCCCTGCAGCTGGGTGTGAGCTCTGCAATAGGAAGGTCAGCCATTCACATACACGTTATCTCAGCTCTGCAGTGGCTCAGCGAGCTGTGTTTAGTTCACTTCTCACTGGTGGTTGGTTTCCATTGCAGAGACAGAGACAGCAGAATGTGTGAAGGGCCATCCAAGATTTCTGGACCCATTCCTCCAGACCCTACGCTCTTCCCAAACTATTACAGACGCCCTTTCTCAGGTGAGTCCTCAGGGTGCTGATGGTGATCCTGAAGGTCAAAAGAAGGGAAAACGTGAGGTAGATGTGGAGGGGGACCTTCAGCATGATTTGTTTGAGGGAAACAGCGAGGTGAGATCGCGCTAAGCTGCTTTTTCTTTCTTTCTTTCTCTGCAGCTCGAGGGAGGCTGGAAGGCAATGCTCAGCGGTTGGATTTTACCTCTCGCCCCACGGACTCAGCTCCCAGCTCACCCCGTGCTTTGAGCGGTGCCCACCAGCCCCAGCCAGCGCCTCGCATCCGCCCCAGCGGAAGGGACTTCATGGAGAAGGGGCAGAAGGGGACGCTCGGCCTCCTGCTGCAGCTCAAGGGGCTCTCTCTCGCTGGGGGTCTGCCAGCAAAGAGTAAGCACAGCTGTGCTGAGGTCCAGAAGGGAGGTGAAGCTGAGCTCTGCCTGTTGCCTATTGGCTTTATATCCCAGCATTGCCCCAAGCTGGTGCCCGCATGGCGGTTGCCACAAACGCTGTGCCAAAACGGGAGGGGAACCAGCTGAGGTCTTCCAGAACAGGGTCAGCCCTCCCAACGTGGGGGGAAATGCACAGATTGTGTGGGCTGCGGGAGGGGGGAGGACTTGCTGTTTCCACTTTGGACATGGAGCTGTCAGCTCTGGTGTTGTGATCCAGGAGCCTACGTTTGCTGGCAGTGTTTGAGGGCTGAAAGCTGTGTCTCGCTGTGCAGGGAAAGAGTCCAAGGACCACGAGAAGGAAAACGTGAGGCGAATAAAGGAGATTCAGAAGAAGTGCAAAGAGAGGGAGCGGGCCCAGGAGCGCAGCCAGCCCAAACCTGTGAAAGCTCTGTGGAAATCCCAGAAATACGAAAACGTGGAGTCAAAGGTGAAGGCCAGACTGCAGGTGGGTACCCAGGGGGCTCTTTGACTCTCCTGGCAGCTCAGAAGAAGAAAATCTCACACCTTCTGCCTGCTGCCTCCTGCCTGACCCTTCTGTCGTAGGAATCTGAGGGCAATTCTTGGCATGGTGCAGAGCAGCCCTCAGAAAATCCCTGTCCTGAGGTGCATCCAGCTGGCTTCTCAGCTTTCCACGTCTGGGGTTCGTGCCAAAAGGCGGTGGTTTTCTGCCCCACAGAGCACTGTCCTCACCCTTTCTGCATGGCACTGAGGCAGAGAAGGAGAGATCGGCCTTCAGGCTGCTGCAGGCTTTGTGCCAGCTCTCAGGACCCTGTGACACACAGTGGGTTTTACCAACTGTGTACTGAGCTGAAACACGGATGGTTTCTGTTCCAAGTGGTGTCTGGTTTCCGGCAGCTTTTGCTTTGCTTTTGGCTTCTTTCTTTTCCTTCTTCTGGATATTTTTTTCTTTCCTGGTGTTTTAAGTAATGTCTCTGTTGGGGGCTTTCCAAAATGCAGCTAAGTGGTTACAGTGAGGAATGCACTGAAGAAGCTGGGTGACGTCTTGAGCATCACCACTGAAGCAACACCCTCCTTGCTGCTTCATAGCTGAGCTGAAGCTTCAGATTCCTCCTCATCTCTGCATCGCTTCCCTCCGTTCTATGGCCCCCGAGCCAACGAGGTGGTGCTACAAAGATTGGCAGGGTGATTTCTGAGCAGTTCCAGAAGCCTTGTCCCTCCTTTCTGATGCACCAGAAAGCACCACCAACTTGCTTGCTGGTATCTGTGACCTTCCACGCGCAGGAGCAAGCCCACCTGTGCCTTAGGAATGAATACAAGCCTACGCTCTTGTTAGACAAATCATCAGGATCAGAGGATGATTGAGATGATCTTTTGTTTTGTGGGAAGGGGGTGTTCTCTCTGCACGGTTTCTGCGTGGTGTGTTTCTGTGCTCTTTGGATTCGGAGGCCCCGGAGCTGACTCACGTTGCTTTAACCATTGCTGAGGCTCTCCTAGAGATGATGTGTTCCCTTCAAAGCATCTCCATCTTCTGTGGAGCTCCTGCTCACGGGTGGAGTTGGTTCTGTTAGTCTTGAAAGTCTGGCATGGAGTTTTTCTCCTCTGTCTTCTATGGTGTAAATTGCAGCTGCTTCCTTGGCAGCAGCAGCCAGCATCACCTTGCTCTGCAGCTGACCGCCGAAGATGCCTCCCACCCCTGGTGGGTGTCTCTGCAGGGTTATCTGATGGCGCTCTGCTTCTGTGCCTGCAGTGTTATTCAGTAAGGGGGGACTCCCTCATCAGTGCTTCACACACTTGTGGTCTGTATGGATGTTCCTGCAGATCTTTTTTCTTCCTCTTAGTGCTTCTTCACCAAGTTCAGTTGCCAGCTGTGGGTTTGTTGCCGTCAGCGCTCTGGTTTGGTCTTTGCTGCCTGTGGTTTGTGTGCAGAACTTCAGCCACATCACAGCAGAGGAGCACGTTGTTGTCTGTTGTAAACCTGTGGTTGAGCTCGTGGTTGACCCCCAGACGATGTTGGTGAGTTTCTCTTTGCCCCATCATTCCCCCCGCTGAGCCGTTTTTCTGTTTTATGTTTCCACCTTTCCCAGGAGAGCTCTCCACCTCCAAACCCAGAGGCTGTGAATTTCCTGCGGGCGTACTCTCGCTGTGGGCCTGGGATCAGGCCAGGCAGACCTCTGTCCCCAAATCCTGCCAGCATGAAGGCAGGAACAGGCACTGAGGCTCCGCAGACGCTGGCTGCTGAAACCAAGGTGAGTGGCACACTGCCTGCACGCTCCCGGGGGTTTCTGTCACCCTGCCCCCCATTGCTCTTGCTTTGCATGCTTTGTGGGCTCAGCTTGACAAGGCAGGCTGTAGGTTTTCGTGGCCGTTGGTGCCTGCTGTCTCAAGCTGTTGCTGTAGGTGCTGTCTGCCTATGGCTCCTGAGGGTCTGCCCTTTCTTTGTGCACCTGCTCAGCATCTCACACATGTAGCTGCTCACTCTGTCCCTTATGAGGACAAGAGCAGCTGCCTGCGTGTGCCACCCCAGCACTCACTGCCTCTTGTTCTTTCAGTTGCAGGTGGAGGGCAATAGCATTGACTTCATCAAGCACAACGCTCGCAATGCCAAGCGGGCCCCGCTGCGGCGCTCCCAGTCCCTGCAGGCCCTGGCTGAGCTGCTGGGACAGAAGCAGAGGGAGCAGGAGGAGTACAACATCAAGCAGAAGGGCCACGTCCCCCAGTAGTACGTGTGCCAGCAGAGCAATTGACTGTGGCCTGGGGAATGAATGCAAAGCTTGCTGGTTTCTTGGCTTAACAAGAATCCCATGGCTGTCGCAACTGGGCTGGTAAAGAGTTTTGTCTCCTCCTCCCTTGCTTGCTGCAGTACAGTGATGCTATGTGCTCGGTGCCTTTGAGCACGCACAAAGTGGTGGCCAGTCCGTGCACGTGGGCTAAATCCAAGTGCTTCTCAACGCAGCAAGGGCATATGGAGCAGGGGGGGTGTGGGTGCTGCCAGCCTGGGGCTCTGTGGTCTTCAGGCAGTGACGTGGAGACCAGCAGGGCTCCGTTCCTGGGCAACCTTCCTGCCAGGTGTGCCGACACCAGCTTTTGTCTGCCTTGCAGCCTGCTGGAGAGGAAGGAGCAGTGGCGCAGGCAGATGGAGGAGCAGCTGCGAAGCCGGCCGGATCCTGACACGCCGCCTGGCCACACCATGATGCCTGAGGGCCAGAGGCTGGAGATGCTCGGCAGCCTGAAGCAGAGTAAGAGGAAAAGAAAGGAGCATTCCAGCTCAAAAATAGCCAGTTTAGGAGCACGGGCTTGCTTCCTGATTTCCTGCCTCTTGGAGAGATGCTGGGGTGTTCCAGTAATCCCTGCACTAGAGCTGCGTGTGCAGAAAGAGCAATCCTATGGCATGGTCGGACCTGGAACAGGCTTGGCCCAGGGGACCTGACATTAGGGTTACTATTGTACTTAAAATGAATATTTTTAGTTGGAAGAGATCTTTGGGGGTCTCTAGTCCAACCCTTGCTCAAAGTAGGAGCACCTTAGAGCTGGAGCTTTGGTCCTCCTCCAGCTGTGGTTTCAGTCCAAGGATGGGTATTCTCTCCAGGTCCCTGCTCCCATGCTGCTACCATTTTAACAGCTGAACAGTGAGGTTGTAGTGTTAGGGGAAAAAAAAAAGGGAATTTATCTCCCACTCAACGCAGCTTTTTGTCTTTTCCAGGCCAGGAGCAGCTGATAAAGGACCTGGTGATGCTGCCAATGCGTGCAGACACCCTCAGCATTCAGAAGAGGCGAGTAGAGCTCGAGAGGAAGCTCTCCCAGATTGAAGAGGCACTCAAAATTTTCTCCAGGCCCAAAGTCTTCATCAAGCTGGACTCCTGAGCCCATGGGGCTGCAAGCAGTGTGCTGCTCTGCGTGAGCATCCCAGGGAAGGGAAGGAGAGGAAGACAATCGAGGACCCTGCACCCGTAGTGGTGTCAGTACTGTGTCCAACACGCAGTTGGCACCTCTTGCTCTTGCTCCCAGGGCACATCCAGGGAAATGGGAGGGAGAGGAGCTAATTGACTCTGCTGTGCAGTGTGGAGAACAGTTGTCCCCGTGCTGGTTGACTTCTCACAGAGATCAGCTGTCTGCTTGGAATTGATGGCACAGATCTCGTGGCTTCTTATTTTTCCATTTCTAGAAACTGGCAGGAGGTCCCCCGTGCTGCTGCTCTGCTGTTGGTTGTCCTCTTTCCCCCAGGGCACTGCAGGCTTTGCTGCACACAGGGCCTTTGCTCTGGGCTCTGTGCTGACCCATCCTAAGCACGCAGCCGGTGCCTTTGTCCCCTCCGTCCTGCTGCGTGCGCTCAGTAGCTCAAGGACAGCAAAAAGGCACAGAGCTCCAGTGCTTTCTGCTCAGAGAAGGGCTGGGGTGGAAGCAGGGGAAGCTGGTGAGGTGTCTGGAGCTGTTGTTGTCTGTGGAGTGGGATGCACTGCAATAAAGTTGTAGTTTTCCTCCGTTGGTGTGTCTCGGTGGACTCAGCAGGGCCTCAGGAGTGGTGGTGGGCAGCAGAAAGCAGCAGTGCTGATGTGATGCTGCCAGGAGGAGAGGTGCAAGACCCTCACAGGGGGTGGCCTGAAGTGGCCAGAGGACAGGGCAGGTGCCATTGCGCAGGTGAGCTCTGCCTGCATACCATCAAATACCCCATAGGATTTTCAGCAGCTCTGAAAAGCTCTTTCCTTTGTGGAGCAGAGGAAGATTCAGCCCAAAGGGCATCACTGGAGGGTTCTGGTCCGTCTGCTGCCCAGAACAGGGCCAGATCCACAGCTCAGGGCCTTGTCCAGCTTGCTTGGGAAAGTCTCCACCATGGGACAAATGCTGCACTGCTGCGGGCTTTCCCTCATCCCAAGGCAGGATCTGGGGCTTACCAGGGTGGTGAGACATTGCAGCCTCATCCTGTGCCCCAGGCTGCTGGGGGATAGCACTGCTGCCAAGCCCCAAGGAAGCTCCCATTGCTTGGGGCTGGAGGAGGCGAGGTACCAACCAGAAAATGGCCCCACACCTCCTTGGGGCTGTCCTCAGGGCATTGCCACTGCGCTGCGAGCAGCCCCAGCCCTGCTGCAGTTGCACTCCCTGCCATAAGCAAGCCCGGACTAACCAGCTCTGCTGTCTGCATCTCTCTCCTGCCTGCCTGTCTGGGGCCCGGCTCAGTGGCTACAAGGAGCTGCGCCCGGCTCAGCCCTTGCAGTCCTGGAGAGCTGTGGGTCCTCCTTCTCCTCTAAGACAGATGTCACCACACAGCAGCACCTGCGTCAGGACCCCACGTTTGCCCTGGGCACAGGGGCTCGCCGTGCCCAAAGCAGCCTGAGTACGTAGTGTTGGATAGCTCTGCAATTAGCCTTGCTGGGCTCACTTGAAAAGCAGCAAAGCCACATGTGTGCAGAACTGTTAGGGACACAGCTGCCCCATCGCACAGCACCAAACCCATTTGCTGTCCTGAATGGAGACTGCTGGCCCCTGCAGCGACGCGAACGATGGACAAACGGGGTGTTTTCTAGAAAAGGTTTTACTGTCCATTGCAATATATTACTTGATGATGCACGCTTTGATAAAATAATTAAAAAACCCACGTGGGTGGAAGAAGGGAGGTGAGGGGCTCAGATGGGCAGCGCCCGGCAGGAGCAGACCCCAGGGCAAGGACAGGGCAGAGGCAGCCCCATGGCCCTGGTGCCCACAAGCAGTCCGGCTATAGGGTGAGCAGGGTGCCGTCCTCCCGCACGCTGCCCCGGCCGGGGCTGCCGTCGTGGCTGCCCAGGGACTGCAGGGAGCCCTGCGAGCTGTGTGGGGACAGGCTGGGCGGGAGGGGTCCGTCAGCAGGGCCCCCATTGGGGCAGCCCACGGGGCCGTAATGGGGCGCGCCGTCGCTCTCGATGACCAGGTCTCCCTCCTCGTCGCTCTCGGCTGTGCTGTAGTTGCTGAGGTACTGCGAGGCCGGGCTGGGGGTCTGCTGGCTCGGGGTGCTGTCTGTGGACACCCCCGAGCTGCCCGAGGCTTTGCTGCTACGGATGACGTTGTTGCGCTGGTTGGCCGGCTTGACGGTGATGATGAGGTTGTGGCTGTTGGCCACCATCATGTCCGTCACCTGGTCCAGAGACTTGCCGGCCACGTCGATGCCGTTGACCTCCAGGATCTCGTCGCTCACCGCCAGCAGCCCCGTGCTCTCCGCCAGGCCGCCCTTCACCAGGCGGGAGATGAAGATGCCGGGCACTTTCTCGACGCCCTGCGGGGCCACGCGCACGCTGACGCCGTCGCGGATGTAGAAGCCCAGCGGCTTGTCGGAGCCGTGCTTGTGGAGCCGCACGCGGCGGTGCGTCTCGGGCAGGATGTCCACGTCGATGATGGAGGAGATCTGGCGGAAGTCCTGGGGCATGCCGATGAGGAGGTGAGGTTTGGCCCGGCAGTGCGCTGGCCGCAGCAGTCCCTTCTTCTTCCTCTGCAATGAGTTGGAGGCGAAGACGGCGGCGTCTGATTCTGCTGTGGGGAGCAAAAGGGGATGCGGTCAGACGGCGCTCAGCACCGCACAGCGGCTGCGATCTCACCAGCCTTCCCCACCAAACATCGGCCCGGCTCTTCCTGTCTCCTCTGGGCCCATCTCCTGGGATTACCCAGTGTACACACGGCTGGGATTAGTGGGATCCAGGCGGTGATTCAGCCTTAATCACACTTTAAGCCAAGCTCTGCGGCTTAACGCTTGAGCTGCCGGCTCTGCCAGCCTGGGGGCCGCTGCTGTGCCTTGGTTTGGGGCACACACACACCAGCTCCCCACATTATCCCTGTTGGAGCAGAAGGACCAGAGCCCTGCCACAAGCCCACAAGCAGGACGCCCATCTCGCAGTGTCCCATTCAGTGTCCCCGCAGCCCCGGACCTCCCAACCCGTGCATCCTGTCAGCACTTCTTATTCCATCTCCAGGCACTGCAGACCCCCCAGCAGGGTCTGGCTCCATTCCCCCCAGCCAACCGCTCTGGGGCTGTTCAGTGGGTGCCATCTCCCCCACGTCCTTCCCTTGAATGCATCCCCTAGGGGCCAGGGAGCATCCCCAGGGCTCTCTCTGGTTTCTCTCCACCCCTCTCCATGGGGGAGCTCAGATCTGGATGCTTTTTGCCACTGCATCCTTCCAATGCTGCACAGGGCTTATCAGCATCCTCAGTGCCCAGCCTGCAGAACCAGCGGGTGTTCAGCCACCAATACAGAAATCACCCAGTCCCAGCACGACCTCAGGAGGACGCTGAGAAAGCCTGGCCCCAGTGCCACAGCAAGGGGAAGGCAGCATTCTATGCAGCGCAGCACCCATGGGAGGGGGCTGCCAAGTGCAAGAGCTCCCCACCAGCACCAAATCCTGCTCTGGACGCAGGGGAGTCCTTGGCACCACGGGCACATGGGGTTTCTCCCAGGACGAGCTGGCCTGCCAGGGCTCCTGGGTTATAAATATCTCCCTGCACTCACCGCCTGCCTTATTTTTAGCTTGGGGAAGGGCGGTGGAGGCTTTCCCACAGCTATTTCAGCACATGGCTGCTCTCTGGGGGGCGAGAGGCAGCCAAGTTGTGCCGCTTGGTGCCTTGGGGATGCACCGGGCATCCTCCTGCCCTTCCGGTGAGCCTGAGCCCACCCCTGGGGCTGAGTGCCTGTCCCCAGCTGGGCACCAATGGGACTCCACTGCTTCTGCATGTGAGTGGTGGCATGGGGAGCCAACGTGTTGTGGCTTTTGCTTCTCAACCCCATGGCATAGGACTCCAAAACCCACACATCCGGACACACTGCGTGCATGCTCCCCCTGCACCCAGTGTGTGAAGGAAGCTCTGTAGCTGCCTGTGTTCCTCACCAACCTGGGGACTGGTTTGACTACAGCCCAGCCCTGGAATGACCTGGATCCATTCTAAATCAGCCGTGACTCACCCAGGGCTCACTCCTGGCCTCTCCATGTGCCCCTTGCAGACCCTCTGCCAAGTTCTTGCCCTATGTTGCAGCCCTGGTGCAGGAGGGGATGGTTTGGAGCTGCTTGAGTGGCCCTGGAGGAAACCCCTGAAGGAGCACAGGTACCTGACTCAGCAGCACAACATCACCCCTCATCTGGGGACTTTGGGCCGACAACATGAGCTGGAACCACCGCAGCGCTCAGGGTCCATCCCATGCAGCTGCACTTGGGATGCCTCTATCACAACTATTTCACAGTCCAGCACAAGGAAGCTGCTCTGCATGGAGCTCACACCAGCCTGGCTGCAAAGACGACTTCCAAGAGGTGAAATGCACGGGCTGGGTGGCCGTGGTGTCACCTCCTCCCAAACCATCCCCCAGCACAACGAGAGGAACAAGGCCAGCGTGAGGACTGCCCCACGCATCCCAAGGAATGGATCCCAGCCCTTCTCCAGCCACCACTGACCTTTTTTCTGGATGATGACCCTGAGAAGGGGGTTGGCGGAGGACAGGGCCTTGTGGTAGTTGTCGTCGTTGTTGATGGGCAGCAGGTCGCCGTGCACGTCAGTGTAGCCCAGCAGCACATCTACGCGGGGGATCTGATGCACGCACTGCAGTAGGCTGTAAAAGTCCTGGAAGGTGCCGGCGCTGGAGCGCTTCATAGCAAAGCGACGGAACTCAGCATCAAACTGCAGAGGAGGAGGAGGAGGGAGAGGAGGTAAAGGTGGTTAGAGCTGGAGGAGGGTTAGCAGGACTCCAGGTGTTATTCATAGGGCACGCAGGCAGAGATGGGGAAGGGGCACATGGGGACACAGGGTGCGTCCTCGGGGGCTGGCGGAGGCACATCTGGAGGAGGCACATCTGGGTGAGCGCAGAGATGGGGGCCGGCAGAGCACAGCTGGGTGAGGGTGTGCTAGGAGGGCTGAGCGAGGGCACATCTGGATGCACCCACACATCTGGATGCGTGTGCACATCTGGATGCCCCCTCACGCCGCAGAGAAGGGAGGTGTCGGGATGCACATCTGGCCCAAGGCGTTCCCGGTGTGACCGCGTCCTGGCAGCACACATCTAACCCAGCTGTGCACATCCAACCGAGGGCTGCCCCCAGCCCGCCGGCACCGCCGGGGCCGCACCGCCCCCGCCGTTGCCGCGCACCTGCCGAGCGCTCCCGGCGCTGCGCCCTCCACCGCATCGAGCGGGTGGGCTGACGGCCCGGCGGCCCCGTCCTCCCGGTATCGGCACCGCGCGGCGCTGGGAGCCGTGCCTCTGCAGCACCGGGAGCGGAGCAGGGCCCCGCACGGCCGGTCTGCCTCTGCGCGCTGCCGCCCCCACGTGTGCTGCCGGGACGGGCGGGCACCATCAGCACCGGCATCAGCACCGGCATCAGCACCGGCATCAGCACCGGCATCAGCACCGGCATCAGCACCGGCATCAGCACCGGCATCAGCACCGGCATCAGCACCAGCATCAGCACCAGCATCAGCACCGGCATCAGCGCTTACCTTGCTCTTGACCTCGATGACGGGCTCGGCGGATCGCGCCGGC